ACAACAGGTTTCACCACCTAATTTTTTTCCTTTTAAATACTATTCAATGATATTCTTTTGTAATTTACTAATGTCTTTATTTATAATTTAATTATATTTGGCATGCCAAAAGAATTTTTTCACATGTAACTTATAAGTTTTCAAAGTCTCTTTTACTTTTATGGAGTTTTATTACTTTAAAATTGTAAACCTGGTATTCATAAAAAAGTCATTACAATGCAAAGATTTTTCATTTTTAACTAATGCAAATAATAATACTAGTTGGCTACGTGCCAGTACTGAAGCCTGCGAGTGTTTTCTAGAACACAAATTCTAAAGAATTCTCTGGATAAGGATTCTATTTAAAAATGTTACACTGATCCAATATTTTGAACAGAAATGATTGTTATGTAATGTCTTAACATCAGAAACCATTTTTTAAACAATATTTTAGTTATGTACAAATGAAAGCATTTCGCCCTTTATTTGAAGTCCCTGAATATGAGTCCTGAGAGTTAAACTCTTTTTTTTTTTTTACATTTTTTTATGGATGCAAAATTTCGCTAAGTACAGACACCTAAGAGGCATGTAAAAATTAGATTGCTTAGAACACATGTTTTAGATTTCATAATTTTAATAAAACTGATTTCTTTAAACTTAAAAATGCCGAAACATGAATCTTTGCATCATTTGAAATATTTTTGTAATTGAAAATACATGTCTATTGTGGCCGTGGTTGTGAAAATAAAGGCCAGGTAAGGATTTCTGCGGACATGTTCTACATAAAGCTATATAGAATTTATACTATGATTTAACCCCTTCCCTGTTTTGCCCATACGCCGTACGGGCACAGCTTTCGGGCCTTTACTGATTTCTATTTCGCTTGCACTGTTTTGGCGGTATTTTTTCCAATTTTAGTAACAAATTATACGTATAGATGGCGATAGTTGTCCAGTAAATGATAGTTTGCAGTTTATTGTTTGACTGGTTCAAAAGCGTGGGGTTTTTTTCGCATGTTTTGTATCAGAAGACGAATTGTTATCTTTCAGTGTATAGCTTTCTGGTTATATTTTACTGACCGCTTGATAATTGTATTGATGTAAGGGTTGAATAATATATTTTTACTTTTAAATAACGGATAATTCAGAGCGTATGGAGCTAATTTCTTGTGATTCGAACTGTGACTCGGAATCAGAAACTGAATTATCTGTAAATGATAGTAGCGAAAGTTTACTAGGTGACCTGGATAGTAGTGACTCTGATAGTAGTACAGATGGAATCAGTCAAGCAAGACAATTTTTTGAAATTAGTTGTGATAATTTTTCGGATCCACCTCCTAGATTTTCTTTCACTGGAATTCCAAAAATTAACTTGGATATCGATGAGACTAAAGGTAAACTTCAGGTAAAAAAGCCAGTTGTTGAGCAGTATTGGAGCAAGAGGCATTCAACATCCACGCCATTTTTCCCAAAAGTGATGTCATATCGCCGCTTTCAATTAATTTACAGTTATTTGCATTTTTCAGATAATGTCAATTTTGACATAAATTCTCATGAGTGTCCAAAATTATCAAAAATATGGCCCGTGCTAAAGCATTTAAAAACTTGTTTCAAAGAAATGATCATCCCTGAACGTGATGTTACCATAGACGAGAGTCTTATGTTGTTCAAAGGAAGGCTAAGTTGGAAACAGTATATTCCTCTAAAGCGATCACGCTTCGGAATAAAATTGTACATGCTTTGTGAGTCGAAGTCTGGATATGTATGGTCTATGATAATATACACCGGAAAAGGAACTGTGTTTGATGAAAGTTACAAACATTTGAGCAAATCTTCGCAGGTAGTTATTACACTTATGCAACCACTTTTACATAAAGGATACTGTCTGACAACTTTTATTCATCTCCTGAAATAGCAGATATCCTCATTAGTTACTGTACAGATATGTACGGAACATTAAAACTTCAAAGAAAGGAAGTTCCTAAAGCACTGTTGACAAAAAAACTTCAAAAAGGGCAAATGCTTGCTTACCAGAGGGGAAAAGTGTGCATTATGAAATGGATGGACAAAAAAAGCCGTGTCTCTCATATCTACAATACATAATGCGGAAATGGTTCAAGTATCCACTTCGACGAATGAAATTAAACGAAAACCTAAAGTAGTTATGGAGTATAATAACACAATGGGTGGTGTAGATCGAATGGACCAGAACCTAAGTAATTATCATGTAATAAAGAAACGAGGAAAGAAATACTACAAAAAAAAAAAAAAAAAAATTTTTTTCATCTTCTAGACATCTGTTTATGGAACGCTTATGTTTTATATAAAAAGCACGGCGGTAAAGATACGAATTTACAGTTTCGATTGGAAATTATCGATCGACTTATTGAAAGGCATGCAGCAGTAGAAGAAAGAAAAGGCCGTCCTGGATATTTACCAACTCCACTAAGACTAACAGAAAGAAATTTTTTAGTGGTTATTCCACCTACAGAAAAAAAACTAAGACTCGCAAGACAGTGTTCTGTGTGTTCATTGAAAAATAAATGACAACGGCAAAAGAATTAGAAAAGAGACAAGGTATTTTTGCCCAAACTGTGATGTTGGACTGTGCCTGTCACCTTGCTTTAAGATATATAACACTAAATCAGATCTTTAAAAAAAGAAGGGTAAGTATGTTTTGATACAAAACATAATAGTAAATGTAATTGAATTAAAATCGAAAAATCTGTTAAGTAATTGTACTATTTTAGTTGTAAATGTAACTTCCCTGCTTTGCATTCATGTAAGGAAAAAAAACAACTTGCAGGGAAAAGTTGATCATTTTCATTAAAGAAAAAAAGTTGTAATAAATGCTTAAAAATATTAGAAATGTTAATTTTAATAACATATCTTTACTTAAAAATATAAAATGAACAAAAAAATGCAATAAAAAAATGTGACATTTTTTGACCGAATTCTGGAAAAAAATGAAACTGTCAAAGGGTTAAATGTTTCAACACAGAAGAAAGAAATGCTTATGTAATGAAAAAAAATGTTTATGATGCAAAATTCATGAAAACAAGGGGGGGAGTCAATAAACCAACACCCACTAGAAAACAACAACATGCATTTATTAAAAAAAAAATGCAATACTGGTACATTTAAAATTTACACAGACACAAGACATCAGATATCTACTGTATATTCCCACCATTGATGAAACAAAAAATTCAGAGTGATGAATCTTTGAAAGAAAATGACATAAGGTTAAAATTTTTGTATTCACAATACAGTCTTGGCAACATTGACATAACAAAGAATTGAATAACAATAACTTTACAGAAAGTGTACACAAAATTAACTTCTCTTCCCCTTAAAAAAAAAAAGCTTTATACGATCTTTATATAAGTCTCAGTCAAGATTTTATCTGCATATACATGAGAGCAATTTTCATATAACAGCTAAAAATATATTAATAACATAAAACAATAGTTTGTAACTGAAAAGTTTTAATTGTTAAGAGATGTAAGTATTCCAATAATTTTCACACTGTAGTCAATTTACAGCTTCGCCCCTACAAAAAAGGAATATATGCATAATTATAGCTTTTCACCTTTCAACTTATTTTTTTCTCGTGTTCCTTTTAAAGTAAGATTCAACTTATTCTTTGGCAAAGAAATTTAATTTTCATATGCCAAATAAATAAAAAAGAGACAGTCATCAATCCAGGCAGAATTAACAAAATTAATGAAGAATGTTACAAAAACATTCTACAGTAGCTCTCTCAATACTTGAAATGGTAATGTCACATGTTAAATATTTATACATTTAAGTATAGAACTTTCTAGATATAAACAATATAATTATATATTCTTCTCAAATAATTAACACATTTATTATTGTTAACATAGCTCAATTTGTTTGGATTATAAAAATTGAAACTCCTAGCACAAATACATACATAAAATTCTACTACAACATATTTCATACAAGCACAAATATCAGAAATAAGATAAAAATCATAATAAGTATAACAATAAAAATATTTCTTCCAAAGAAATTTTTATTTATTTTTAAAAACTAATTGCCTACAAATTCAGCAGTGGCAAAAGAATTGTAAAAACAATATCAGTACTCTGAAATTCATATTTAGATACATTTCATTTGCTTTACTTTTATCAATGAAGGCTACTACTAAAACTGATACTAGTTGACCACGAATTTCGATCTAATACAATTCAGCATTCATGAGCTTAGTATTGTAATTAACTATTCTATCACATATCCATATAATATCTAGCAATTTTGGAAAATATCTTTAATACTTCAAAATTACAAAGGAAAATGATTCTGAAAAATATCATTCATTACAGAGAAAGAATTTTGAATCCTTGATCTCAATGGATAATAGAAGAGATTTGAGTTTTTAAATTTCAACATAAAAAACCTATTAAAGGTTTTAACTCATATTTTTGGAAAGACTTCTACTAATTATTAATTAAAAAAACTTTTTAAAAAGATTTTGTTGATAAAGAATACTTTAATTGCAATTGCTGTAATTTCAGGACACTTAGATTACTAATATCACCTTGAGATAGATGTCAGTGAGTCTTTTAAGAAAATTTAACATACTAAGTTTAGTTAGTGTTTATTTGCGCTAATTATTGGACTAGCCTTCTGCAGCTCCTATCATTTAGAAAGATTCGGTGGGAGGATTAAAATTTGAAATGATGCCAAAATTTGTTTTGCCAAATTATACTAATAGAATGAACTTTGTATTTCACGAGTTTAATTACACATTTCTTTCATTAAATTTCATTTTTATCTTCTTAATAAACAGGAGTGTATTTAAAACACACCATTCTTAATCTTTTCTTCATGAAATGCAGATTTCTTACTTTGCTTTAATTGAAAACTTTTACAATTCAGTTTTTCCCCCTTTTCTTTCTTCTTAATTTTATAATGGACAATTCTAGAACATTTCAAAGAAAGCTTCAAGGATATTTAGATTCCTTCCACTTCATGAAAGAATAGTGATTTACATTTTTTTTTTTTTTTTTTTTAAAGGCTTATATGAGTTAGTCAAGAGATTCAAGATTTGAGGATTTTTCATAAATCATGAAAGGTCATCAAATCTTGAATCTCGATGAAAAGAAAAAATTTAGGATTCCTCACATGTCTAGAAAGTATGATGCTTTTGCATTATGCCAATGAGTTGATGGGTTTAGATAAAAAAAAAAAAAAAAAAAAAAAGCTTAAGTTAGAAGTTAAGCTTAAGTTAGCTTAAGTGTTACTTTCTTGAAGCCAAAGCTCTTGTGCCAAGTAGAACCACTTTTTTCCTTTTCAATAAACTATTAGAAACTAATCATAACAAAATTCTGCTTTTTTAATCACTAATATGTTTCTCCTATTATATTTTCATTATTTTTCTAGTAATTCATACAGCCACTGTAGTAAAATACACAGGCAAATCTTTGTTCATTAAAACATTTTCATTATAAAAATAAAAGATATTAAAAGAAATAATATATTTTTAATCCCTTCATATATACTAAAACAAACCACTAGAATAGCTTTAAAGATTACATAATAACTTTATTTTTAATAAATAACTTATTTTTAATAGCTACATAATAAACTTTATTTTTAATAATAACTTTATTTATTAAAAATAAAGTTATTATGTAATCTTAGCAAAATATATTTTTATCATATAAATATGATAAAAAGTTAATGTCAGAAGTTTATAAAAATTCATTTTACATTTTGTTTGCTTTTACAATATAACTATAACATAGAAACACATTTCTGAAATAAAATATGTACAGTACTTGCAACTTATTAAAGGCACCATTTAATAAAATCAGCTGCTTATTTATTCAAATTCCCCAAAACCAAAACACAGTAATCAACAGAAAAAACACCAATTATCAAATTCATCTTCTCCAATTACAAAATTCAGATTGAGAAAAAGACTTGATTTTTCAGGGCACCAATATCCTACTTGTACTTAGCAAAGCCGTTAGTAGTTCATCCATTTAACTTATTGAGGAACATGGATTATTTATTGCTCTGGTATCTAGTGCTTCAATAAAAGAGCTTTTGCTAAAATTTTTGCAAGTGCAATTTGGCTTTAGAATACAACTGAAAAAATGTTATTGAACAAAATGAAACTAACACAGATAGATAAGTTCTTTATAAAAGTTAAAAATTTTATTAGGCATGTAATTATAAAAATATTTTAATTAAAAAGTTCAAAAACAAATTTCAAAATTGCATAAGTAGTTTAATTTTAGCATTAATTTTTAATTATTACTTTAGGCACTGATTATTATATTAGTTGTTATTACCTTACTAGATAAGTTTCAAGCTGACATCACAATTTGCAATATACAGGTTGTTATCTATGAAATTCAGCCAAGTGAGTTAGTAAGCAGCAGGTACTGGACATAATGGATAAAAAACAGTTATGAATATGAATTAATTAAAGCTACTTCTTACAAACTTTTATTTCAATTCTGTAACTGATTTTTTTTTTTTTTTTTATACAATAGGATCCAAAAGTTTGAGAATGTCCTCATACATGACAACACAAGTAGGTAGTCAAAAGAATTCAGTCATTCCTTTCCTCTGTCCATCATATCTTAAATAGTGTCAGATATGTCAAAACGGACATCATAGAAATGTACCCTTCTCACTGAATTTTAAATAATCTCAAAGTTTCTACCCATGAATTAGTATAATTCATGGGTAGATTCTTCTATACCCTGCTTACTCATTCAACATAAAATTTTGCATTTTCCCCTTTTCCCACCCATGATACCAAATCTGCAGAAATACCAATGTTAATTATGAAAGGAGGTAAAACTTACGGAAGCATTACAGATAGCTGCAAAAAATTGTTTATAGCAATACTTCCAGAAGTTGTATAAGAGCAAGTACAACATTGGACAAAAAGATCATTTTGAAGATGATTGCACTTATTAAATATTTTAAACTAATCACTATATAAGAATCATATATTCCTAAATTTTTATATCGTAACTGCATATTATTCATTTTCAAAATAAAGAACAGTTCTGCCCATGATTTTTAAACATAATAATTTGTTTTTTAAACGAGCAAAACAGTAACATATTATTATAATTGCATATTATACTAAGAACAAAAATAATTAATTTTAAATATATGTCTCCATTCTTAATTTAAAACACAACTCAAGGAAGTTGAGGGAGATATTTCTATAATTTCTATTTCAACGAGTTAATAACTAAATTTTTTAAAATTTAAATATCAACAACAGAAGACGCATTTCCGTACTTTTTCAGAATGGATAACAGCTAAATTATATCAATTTTTTATAATTATAATTATTCTAAACTTTTCATTGACTTATACTAACAAATTTCTTCTTAAACAGGAATGAAAGAATGAAAAGCTATTAATTTTTATACATATAGTAGTTTAAAAAAAAAAAAAAAAAAAAAAAAACCCCGCCCTCAAATATAAAAACAGGTTAGTGAAAATGTGGTTTCTATTTGAAAGCATCAGATAAAAAACAGAGAATTGAATTACTAAATGTTTATGGTTATACTCACATAATTCATAATTTTCTTTAAAAATTTTGTTTACATCAATGTATGCTTACAATCGATCTTTCATTATAGGGAATCAAATTATTAAACTCAAATGAAATCTGATTCAACTTAATTGCATTTTAAATTTAATATAAAATAAATATTTAATTACATCTGTAGAAAAATGTTATGTACAGTAATGTTTCCACTAAAACTGCACATTTTATGCTCTAAGATTCAGCCTCTAAAAATAGACTTAAATAATTTTAAAGAATGACAATTTTATAATATAGAGTTAATGATTTTATAAAATACAGTTAATGATTTGAGTTAATTTTTCACCCTGCTCTTACATCAGAAATAATCCAGTTGCTATTGACAAAAATAACATAAATGATGTTAGATTTACAATATCAGCAATGTACCTTTAATTATTAAAACAACTACGGATTTCAGAAAATGCCATACTCATATGCAGTAAAAATACATATTTAAATGTTACAGGAATTATTTTTTTATTCACACCATTTTATTAAAAATATTATGTTTAAAAATGATTTAGAAACAAAATTATAACATACTTTTAGTATATGTAAGAAATGCATATATATGAATGATATAAATTTATAGAATGCTCTTCTCCAAAAATTTCTGGAAATGCTCAAACATTAAATTTTAAATCAATTAATATTCAGCAGAAAATACAAAATGTAATCCTGCATGTAAATTACAAATGTATTAAATGACACATATTAATAAAGCACCTTATTTATGTTTAAATGAACTTAATGTCCCTACATTGAATAAACTGCAATTTAATTACACTATATCTGAAAGAAATATATTATACACCAAAGCATATTAAATTGTTTGCCATTTAACTTTTTATTATTTTTTATAAATAAATATGTATTTGTAGTCCTACAGATTAAAGAACTAAAGGAGAGAGTAGTAGTATTAAACCGAGTAATAAATTAATATGTTAAAAACAGCATGATCAAGATTTTAAACCGTAAAAAAATTAAGAAACAAATATGATCAGTTCTTCTCTATTTCAATCATTCTGACAGTGATATTCTGATTATATACAAATGTTGATGCACAAAACTACAGCGAATGAAGGAAATTTAAGGAAGAAAAAAGAATGAAGTACGACAAGTGGTAATAAAATCAAGCCACAATTCCTCCGATTATACGACAGATTTCTTTTATATTTATTACAACAATTAAAACTGGGGTTTTATTCTCTACCAACAAAATCCTGAAATAACCACCTTCCCAACTACATACAATAACCATCGGGATTTTACAACTATAAATCTGTCTTACAACAGAGAAAATGTGGAATGAAAGAAGGAACCAGTTCCATGCTTTCAACCAATTTTGCCATCACATGTGTTACAATCCACCTGATGCAGGTGAACATTAGATACACAGTTTATTTACAAAATGCATGTGTTATGGGATATTTACCAATGATTATTCACAAAACTTATTTTATGCAATATTGTCTGATAAATAAAATGGAATGAGAATGGAAAACTAAGCATTTCAAAAGTAAAACAAAGCAATTTTTCTTTTCTATTCTTTAAATGATTTCAACAGCAGCAAGACTACAAAATTAAAATCATATTTCTCATAGAAAAATTACTTTTTTTGGATGTACTTCATATTAAAATAAAATCAGTGAAAACTGCATTTTATTCAAGAGTTACATATAGTGTTAAAGTTGTTTTTCTGTTGACAGAAAATGAGTCATTACTCTTCAGTTGGTGAAGCTCTCTCTTTTCTACAATACTGAGAACCATATTTGGCCATATACTTTTTAATAAAGTCTTTTGCCTTGTGCATAACAGTTTCATTGCAATCTAAATCCTCCACATTTTTACATTGCTTGAGTTCTTTGGTCATTGTATAGTGTGTCAGCTAGGAAATAAACCCAAAATAAGTTTAAACATTTGAAAAACAAGCTACAGAATAAATTACGAAATAAACGTGAATTTTAATAGAACTTACCTAAATTTCTACTACCTAATAAGATGTACACTGCGGGGGAAAAAAAAAGGGGCAGTTCTATATCTCCCGCTCTAGTGGAGTGATTGACAAAATCTAACTTGCGTTTCTCATGTCTCGAAAGCACGACTTGTATTAGATTTTTACATAGCACTGTTCTAATATAGGTATTTTGACACAAAATAGGACTTTTTCTGAAATGACATGTCAATTTTTTTCCATATTTCGATTCTATGACTCAAATTACACCAAACTAGCAAGTTTTGTAAAAATCGCACGAGTAGGTAATTAAAAATTAGCTCTTCAATGTTAATTCAATTTGGTATGCATTTATTAATATCTCTTTCTTTTTATTAAACTTATTTGATTCCTTCTTACACAGTTCGAATTTAGGTTCACTTCAAATAAAATTCATCCATTTTTTTAGATTTATTTTTCTAATTTGTATTTTTAAATAATTTTTATAAATGTTTCAAAAATAATTTTGCATTATAACCTATAAAATTTTTACAATCATCTTAAAGTAGACGTATTTTTAAGCACATGTGCAAAAAATTAGAGCTTTTTATTCAAAATATTCATGATATATTCCGAAGATATACGTGAATTATATACTGGCGCATTTTGAAATTTGGCATATTTGTTGAAAGCGATAATAATAAAAATGTGGTTTACGCACTTTGTTAAAATTATTTGTTAAAATTAAGTTAGAACGATGACTTTTCCCCACTCATCTACAACGTTAAAAGATAGGAAAGAGCTGCCTTTTTTTGGTTCCAGCATAATGGATGGGTAAGGAAAATAGGTTGCCATATATTAAGAAGTCCCAAGTGAATTATTCTTGCCGCAAACTGAAAAAAATTGTGCCAAGATATATCTTTAAATTTCTCCATAAATTTTGCAGCAAATTTTATAAAATTTAATATCTAGGCATAATTTGAGTCGTAGAATCAAAATATGGGAAAAAATTGGTATGTTATTTAAAAAAAAGTCCAATTTTTTATAAAAATACCTATGTTAGAATAGTGCTATATATAAATCTAATATATATCGCAAGTCGCGCTTTCGAGACATGAAGAACACAATTTGAATTTCATCAATCGGCCTGGTAGAAAGAGAGATATAGAACTGTCCCCCTTTTATATATATATACCAGTGTACATACAATTAATAAACAGTTTTGAAGGTACCTTTAAATAGTCAACCATATCACAGAATACAATAAAAAGAAAATAAAGAGAGGAGGAATAATGATAAATAGGACCACAGATTTCTTAAAAGATTACATAATAAGTAGTTTTGTAGTCTAATAAGTATGAATCATATTAAGCAAATGCTAATTCACAATTTTAAAATACATATGGTAATTTCTTAATGCACAATTTTTGTTATTTTTCTTTATTTATTAGCTTTCCTTATTATTTACCATAAACATGTCAAAATGATATTTAAAAAAACTGTCATTAAAAATAATAATTGCATCTCCAAATAATCAAATATGATAATTTTTTGTTCTCTTTTTATTACACTATAAATGTACATATTGTTTCACACAAGTGAAATTTTACAAATCCTTTTTCACACAACATTTCAAAATGTTTCCAAAATTTTACTTACTTTAAATGTCCAATGAATAACAACTTTTATTTATTTCTTGAATTTTATACATAAAGGTTTTTATGCACTGTCTTTATTTCATTCTGCAAATAAGATATTGCAGACATACAAATGTGGTTCTTTCAGGATGTGATAATCAAGGTATAATCCTGAGCAACAGACTGGCATTCATAGTATTAAATATCAAAATTTAGATCTCAAGCATTTGAAAAAAATACTTAGCATTCAATTTTTTTAGTAATGCTTATTTTGTTACACAAAAAATAAATATTATTCTTCAATGGGCAAAACTTTCCCTTTTTGACAGTACTGAGGTATGCTTCAGCATAGTTTCCAAGAGGTTTCAATTTTTTATCAAAGTATAAAATTTAATTCCACTCTATCACACAAAGTGTGCAGTGTTTCAGTATATCTGAAGATAGCAGCTGCAAGAGATACTTGTAAGGTGTTTTTCAAACAAATCAAAATATGCCACCTTTTTAAATCAGCTACATGTTAAAAGAACAGTATTACAAGCCACATCTTTATGCACAATACACAAAAGAGAAAAAACAATTAATATCTTAGCTGCAAGATTTCCATTAGAGGCGATTACTTTTTGTAAACTATTCAACAAAATTCTATATTTCCAATTAAATGTGCAAGTCAATAGTCACACAAAAGTATTCCTCGTACTTAAAATAAAGCAAAATTTTTCCTGGGTATAATACTTCTGATAGCTTATAATAGCATAAAACAGATCCTTGCTTCATACACTGAATTAAGCAAAATCCATAAAAAGTTTCCTATTCCAAAGAAAGGGAGCGAGAGAAACATTTCTTTAGTTTAAGATTAACCAGCTTTAGCATTTTACAATTTTGCCCATGCAATTTCCGTTTGATGGTCATGGCATATACAGAGATTAACAGATTACTTAAATTTACAAATCTATTTTTAACACATAAAATACCCATTCTCTGAAGAGGAGAAAGAAAACTATTTCATAAGGCACACAAAGTTTCCAAAAATCCATAGATGTTAAGAAAAAGATAGCGAGAAATCACATCTGATAAAAGTGAGAAATCCCTCCGCTCTAGGCAAGACAGCAATAAATTACAAAGTGATGTCACACCTTTCAGTTTTGAAGGAAAGTTATGTGAGGAAATGTCTCTAGGCAAAGTGGCTGCTCATGCTCTTTCACTATAATTACAGATTAATAATATATCTACCCTTAGCAAGGGTAAACATTACAAGAAACAATGTATTAGAAAATTCCCATTCAGTATATCAGTGAAGTATGGAATATTATGTCACACAGCAAACAGACAAATTTTAAATAGCATTTCAGCTTGTTGTGTCTCAATTTGATTAAAGAAAAATGTGTTCAGTACCAATGAAAATTCCTAACATCAATACCACTATGAAATGAATGAAAACTGCAAAGCAGAGTACTTTTGAAGTAATTTTAGTTGACCCTAGTTTTACAGCCATTTAAAAAATATGAAGGGAAGGCAATAAGTAAATCACAAAAGGCAATTAGAGAACCTAAGTAGATACTAACTGGAAAACTATCTTTATTTCTCAGCACAATCTTCACAAATTATTCATAAACCTGACCCATCATTTTATCAGTAGCTCCAATAGTAGATACACAAAATTCTTTAGGTTCTTGTCTCAACCACATTAAGTATTCATCATGAACATTGTTATTATCTGGAAAGTATTTGCCTCAAAGATGTTTTTTAGTAGACCAAACAAGTCATGCTACTATTATTGTTACAGTGTACAGTACATTTCTCAAACTAATTCATCTACTCTCTGTGCTGTTGAGTCTGTTCGATCTGAACAGGATGTCCACTTTGGTTTTCACCACAAATTTTGGAGAGGCCTTGAGAAAATTTCTTGACCCATTTGTGAATGGCTTTACATGACAAACACTTCTTTCCATTAATAGGAAGCATTCCTCTTAGAATGAATGAATATCTTTCACACAAAGTCCTTTCTCCCCAAAAGGGTAACAGCACAGGGATCTTCTCAATAGCGAATGTGCAACTGGTACTCAGTAACTAATGAAATGAATATTACAAACTAGGATGGTTCTGCCATCTATTAACATATATAGAAAGTACTAACTTCTATTTTCAAATGTGTCATGCTAATCTGTGACTTACTTAATGACCTTTATAAATACATTAATATGGTTAAACAGCAGAGTATCATATTTTATTGTTAATTATTCTTAAAACCAATTTATGTTATTTATAGACCTAAGATTCTACTGAAATATAACACGACATCAAAACTATACATATACAAAAAAGATTAACACGTTGAATGCCACATGCATTTTACATGGTTCGCCCATGGCGCCAACACAAATTTTTTATTATTCGATGTATACTATGTTGAAATATTATCTACAGAAGATAAGGTGAGTTAGGTAATTGTGTTTAATGCATTTTTCCTGGTGGGGTCACTGCTCGCCCCCAAGGACCATTTTTGCGATTTATTATTTAAAATTTTGCAATCTATTACTCTTCAAAATATTATAATAACAATGGTTATTATTTAAAATTTTATCTGCATCAGTATTTATTCTAATTATATATTTTTACTGTTGGTCGCTTTGCTGGTGGCCCTTACAGCTCTGCAGCCAAGCCGAGAGCGGCCACCGGTGACCTCCATGGCGGTCAACGTGTTAATAAAAGAAATACAAAGAATGAAATATTTCTACCTTTCTAGCCAAATATTTAAAGTCTTCATTGCTTGTAATTCTGCCAACTGCGCAGTCTGGTTTCCGATAAGCATTCAGGCAATGGACAATAAAAGATGACATCTTTGTTCTGAAAAGTTCTTTTATTTTCTTAGCAATTTCAGGACGAACAGGGAATGAAACACTAGTATCTGGGGATGTTTTTGTTGTTTTTCTTTTCTTTGACTGTTAAAGAAAAATTTTTTATGACAAAATACCTTAAGTGTTTTCACATATTGAACACATTCAAGAATAAGTTATCTTAGAGTGCTTCAAAATTTTCAAATTAAAAAAAAAAAAAAAAAAAAAAAAGCATTACTTTCTATAAATTACAGCTTTATTATCTTACTGCATATAATTTAGCTGTACTTTTCCATTCCACTAAATTACATGTGGAATTTCATTAAATAACACAATCCATTAAATAACACTTAATGCCAAACATGGCACAATGTTGGCACACAGAATCAAACCAGATACTGGCAAATGTAAAGTTTCATGGGGGGGGGGAACAACAATTGTAATAACAATAATGCATCATACGTAGGTAATCCAAAAAGTAAGTTCCATTTTTTATTTTTGCCACAGAATAGCTGTGCATCTTAGTTCAAGCATGTGTGTTCTTTTTGCTGAGTCATTGGCAAGCAAGAAAAGCCATTTTCAGATCACTGACTAATGTGGCACTTGTTTGGTGAGAGTTTAAAATGTTTAAAACAATCAAGCATATCACTGCATGCGAGATATGGTTGGTGATCTGATTTCTTAAGGAGAGGAACACAAAAGCTGGTGAAATTCACACACAAATTTGTGAGGTGGGCAGATCCGTTGCAATGAGCAATTCCATGGTCAGAAGTTGAGTATGCCAATTCAATGAAGGATATTAAAAATGCCCATGATAACAAATGAGGTGGGTGCCCATCTCTGATTGGTGATTTGATTGCAGTAGTTAATGCAAAGATTATGGAAAATGGACATTTCACCATAATGAAACTTTCCCTGGAATTTCCTCAAATTTCCAGGTCCTTGTGCAAGAGACTGTGCACGAAAAACTGAAATTCCAAACACTATGTGCTAAGTACCTCACAATCTGACACAGCAGTACAGATTGAAACATATTCTTAAACCAGATCATGACTGGTGATGAGACCTAGGTGTGTCACATAACCCTGGAATCCAAACTGCAATTGATGAAATGAAGGCACAGATCATCATCCACACAGATGAAAGCCAAGCCACTAATCACATGTCACAAATTGATGTCTACAGTGTTTTGCTGATAGATTGTATGACATGTGGATAAACAGTCAACGTGGCACATTATTGCAAGGCATTTAGAAAACTGCACCATGCAATACAGAATACACATCGTGGTATGCTTTGGGATGGAATTTGGTTAACTCATGAAAATACACAAGCACACACTGTGTAAGACACGCAACAATGCCTTATGGAGTTGCGATGGGAAGTTTTTGACCACCCCTCCTACAGCCTGGATCTCATTCCAAGTGACTATCATCTTTTTAAGCATTTAAAGTCTTTTCTTGCCGGCAAGGAGTTCCAGGATGACAACAAGTCACAAATGAATTGCTACCCAATGGTTGTAATTGCAGGCGGCATTGTACTTTTACAACAGCAACCAAACACTCGTGCTCCATTACAATGAATACCTAAGCAATAATAGCACCTATGTCAATAACTAGTCTGACCATTGTAATTCAGCATTTAATAAAAGTTAGTTCAAAATGATTGTTTCCATTTTTTGTGTTGCTCAATGGAACTTACTTCCTGGATTACCCTCGTATAACACTCAAAGTCCAGTCACATAAATTTGACCACCTCCTACTTTCGGCATTAATCTGAAATAACCAATTACAGAAGGCAGATGGCAGCATTAGCAGTGGAGGATATATAAAGGGTGTTGGAAGAAAGCAAAAACATTGCAATCATTGGCATAATGTAGAAACAGAGTGTCTTATTGGATGTCCAAAGGGGCATGATCACTGGCTGTCATGTCAAGGAGAAATGGCTTATTTTGTAAACCATTTGCATGCCGCTGCAATATAAGTATCTTGCGCACTGCAAAAAAGCACTATCCAAAATCAGCAATGTGGTAAATGTGATGCATCACAGGACACAGTTAACAAAGGTGAATGACAGCTGTGGAGATGTGTTTGGATGAACAGACATGCAAATGTTGAGCAAATCGCCACCCAGATGAACCAAGGAGCTACCAACAGTATGTTCTCAACAACAGTTCAGTAAATGTTGCTGCGTATGGGCCTATGCAGTCAAGGTCCTGTTAATGACATCGACTGCATCATTAACCAGACTGTTCATGAGCGACGAAGGCTGGAATTTGGAATGTCAGTATCGAAACTGGCTGCCCAAGTGGCAACAGGTGGCTTTTTCTGATGAATCACATTTTATGCTCCATTGGACAGATGGACGTTGTTGTATATGGCATGAAACATCTGAAAACAAACACTCTGCAACAATTGCTGGAAGGGTCCAATATGAAAGAGGGAGCATTATGATCTGGGCAATGCTTTCATGGCATCCCCTGGGTCCATTTATCGTTGTGGAAGGCATGATAAATCAACAAAACTATGCATCAGTCCTTGCAGACCACCCCTACATGCATAATGTTTTCCCACAACATGATTGCATTGACCAGCAAGATAATGCAATGTGTCATAGATCTTGCAGTATACATGCATGGTTCGAAGAGCACTAATGCGAGTTTACTGTACTCCCCTGGCCACCAAACTCTCTGAACTTAAACCCAATTAAGAATCCATGGGAATACCTCGATCATGTTGATAGCACCAATCAACCTCAATTGTGTAACCTAGCGCAGCTGCCCATGACACTGGAATCGGCATGGCCTTACATTCATGTGTGTAATTTCCAGAAGCCTACTGAATGTCTTCTGGCACGTCTCGCAGTGGTTCGCTCAGCAAAAGGTGGTAATTCTGGCTTTTGACAGGTGATCGCATTAACCCTCTGACTGCTCGATTTGTGGACTGAAATCGCTTCCATTTTATTTTTCATATTTTAAATCTATATATATTTTAGAATTGAAAAATGCCCTTTTTCTTTCTAGAAATATTTTTTATATAGATTTTTATCATGAGAAACTAAGTTGCAAGAAAAACCAATTTTAGATGTTATCACCAAAAAAAAAAAAAAAAAAACTTTTTGGTGAAATTTTAGTCGAATTACAGTTAATTTCTATTTATTGCATAATATAAAAAAGTAAAATGTATACAATTTAAGAAAATATAAAGCACTGAGGGAAAAATACCTTAGAAATGCAGTTTAGTATGATAGAGTTCAAAACAGGGTTCAAGGCAAAGTCCAACTTCACAGTTTTTGCACCAGATTCAATATCTAATTAATAATTCAATAATTTAATTAAATAATCAAGATAATCGCTGAACATTTTCTAGCAGCCATTTCTGTAAGAAAAAAGGCTGCAAAAAGTGAAGTTTGAGCATTAATACCACGTGCCTTCAAATGGCACAATTTAGTGGACTAATGATATCTGTTGGGCAAAACGAAAACTAAACGCCTAATACTGTATATAATTTATTTCAATGGTTAAACGGGATGCACTCCTCAATAAAGGAAGAAAAACATATGCCCCCTGGAAATCACTGGATAAGCAAATTTTGCTACATTTGAGTTGCCTGTGGAAATCGTGGGATGATCAGCCAGAGGGTTAATGAGACTAAACTGTGTAATAGATAGAACGCTTAATGTGAACAGTCAAGCTGTCAGCAATGCCAAATATGTGTTATTCTCTGATGTTTTTTAAGTGAAAACAGATTGCTGTGTATACAGGAAAGCACATGCTAGCTTTAACACTGTGCACATTAAACACTGCACAGCTATGCACAAAATGATATAAACAAGGTACCACATAATGGTGACTGCCGCCCCATTAGCATTAACGTACTTATTTAGCAAATGCAGTTCATAATGTACTGCACAGAAAAAATGAAATGGTAATACAGGAATCTGAAAATTACAAAACAGACTATGCCTAACTGGGTAAAGTGATTAGATAAAGTTTGAAAAATATGATTTTCTTTTACATACATCATCCAGATTCAAAATATATCAAATATAAAAAGTATTTTTATTTTTTACACCACAGCCACTCAGATTGGTATAGTGAACAGGGAAGCCTGCTCCGATGATGAAAGGCTCAGGTTTTAATCCCCGAGAAAGCATGGCTGTAATTGTCTGTCCCTTCATAGGAAGGAACAGTGGCTCACCTATTAGGTGCTTCCACAATAAAGTGCCACCACGTTTGGCCTTAGTATTGGCCAAACCTAAGTTGGCTAATAAGTTTTACTAATAAAACAGGTATTATATTTTTCTTTTTAGTTATTCAGGAGAAAAACATCAATTACCTTTAGTTGTTTTTCCCATTTTTTAAGATATCATATTCAATTGATTGGTATTTCATTAAAACAAAATAAACAGATGGAAACAGCAAATACACTTTTGACCACTTGTGTATCAGTTCAAAGGGAAAAAAAATACAGGAATGTTCATTTAAAGATGTTTTGTTTACTAAACAATGAAGTATTATAGTTTTTTGAATTATGTAAGGTTTGAAAAGCATGCGCATTAGCATACTCACACACTTCACTAAAAAGGCCAAAAGAAACATTTAAGTTATTATTTCTCTTATGTAAAACTAGTCATATTAATAACGATTGTTATGAACAGCATATTACTGATTAAAAGCAAAATAAGACACACTATCCTTAGGCTTGTCTAAATCTCAAACAGCACAAAAAATAGAAGGTATTTAGAAGACATCTTAAAATTCAGTTTATAGATGAAATCTATGACATACAAAGGTCAAATGGCACAAAGTTCTTTTACTAGAAAGAAAGAAAGAAAGAAAGGGGGGGGGAACCATAAGATTACATTTTTTTTAAATGCTAGAACTCTATCTCAGTTACCAAACACTCAGATATTCTATTAAAACCTAAAATTCCAATTTCTGAACATTTTTTATCATTCTAATTACAACTAAAAACACTTAAAGTCTCATTAGAGTTTTACTCATACTTTCATGATCTGAACAAAAACATAAAAACAATTGTTATTTTAACTCCACATTATGGCTTACCAGCAGCCCAAGTAGTACAGTCACTGAACACTGGTAGTTCGGTTTGAATTTCGAATCCTGCAAATGGGTTGGCTGCATGGGCATTTTCATGTTTTCCCCACGTGTAACGTTTAATACAAGCCAGTTTTCCTAAGAAAGTTCTCCACGAAGGTATCCCTTCCTTCCATGCAGTGCCTTAGGGTGGAACATTTAAATAATAATATGCATTTAAAAAGAATAATTCATGCTTTCATTAATGCTCACAGAGAATTGGGATGGTTTGGTTTTGGTTTAGTTGATTATGGTAAAGGACACAATGACTATCTGCTATGGGGAGAGATGCCTACGTGGACCTTCTAGTGGAAATTGGTTTCTTGCATACATATGAACCCTAGGCTAGCTAGGCTTATACTAATGGGCTAGCTGCTAGCCTGGAATTGAACCCAGGTGGGAACTACCAGTGTTCAGTGATTTTAACAATACAGAGAACTGAGAGTTGCTCACATAAATGCACACAAAAACTGAGAAGACATGTTTCATAATTCTTTTTTCATTTTATAATAATTAAAAAATGAATTTACAAATTTAATTTAAAAATTAACTGCAAAATTCTGGCAAGAAATAATTAAAAATTTATAAATAGTGATAAAATTCTAAATTATTGAATTAGCAAGAAAAACATAACTATTCGATGATATTTGTTAATGTTAATATTTCATCAGATTAAAAAAAAATCTAACTTGGGAAAAAGAAAATTGATACCTTTCTTTTAGAATGCTTAACTGAAACCACTTTAGGTTCATCATATGTAGGTGTATCTGAAGACTCAGATTCTTCAGAATCAGAATCCTCATCAGCAGAATCTTCTTCCACTTGGTTTTCATCAGGAGGATCCCACTGTGTTTGTCTACAATAAATAAATTAACGTATAAAGAATAAGTTAATTATAATAAAACATTTCCAAATCAGCATCAAATCCAAATCAGATTTTTAACAAATTCCCTCAGTTTTTAAAGTTTTCTAGTCAGTAATTAGTTAAAATGATAGAAGTTTTTCTTCTGATAATTTAAATTAAAATTAAGAGACCATAATCCAACCTTGAAATATGAAAACCAGAAATCTTCATGAGGTTTTTGCACTGCACAGTGATACTATTTCAAAAGAAATCCCAAAACACTTAAATTCAATTTCAGGTTGTTAAAAACTATCATATTTTCCACCTCTTACAAAGCTGCTTCCCGAAGAATTAAAAAACTTAAAAACAGTTGCACATTTGCAGCTGTCATGGACAGAAAATTTTAATATTAAGAGCAGGTAAAGTACTGCAGAGCACAGAAAGCAAGTTCTTATTTTTTAAATACTTCTGTGATAAAAATAAAATTAACAGTTAATGAACATACTACTTAGTTATGTAAAACAAAATGATACACAAAAATAACATATTAAACATTAGTTGAATCTTCATTAGAAGTTCTACAAATGTCTCTAGTAGAAAAAGACAATCTTGATCATATAAAATAAGTTAATAAGAAAAATTATGCTGTAAACTACTACAGATAGGGGAATAAAATGTGCATAATTAAAATTTCATTTATTGCTGGGAAATATTTTCATTTGTAAAGTCTAAAAATTAAAAAAATGGGAGATTCTGTGATCTACTAAGAGACCTGAAGAAACAATAGAAAACTAGAAGATTTGGCAGCTATATCAGAGGACAAACAAATTTTATTTACCATTTGCATAAAAGTAACTAAAAGGCCCCATATATATGGTACAAGTGATCTTAATATTTATTACAGTATGTTTTTAAGGTTATTATATGGTTCAGAATGTAAAAAGAAAGGGAATGTTATCAACAACTATAATTATAAAAGCAGTTTAATACACAAGCTGTAGAGTAAAAGTAGCTTGATCAAGTATAATAACATCCACCAATATAAACATATCTAAAATTATTTTGCTAACACTGCTGAAACTTCAGCTACCCATTCCCCAGCAAGATGATAGCTTTATTTTACCAAGCTGGTTGCCTGTATTTTTTTTTTTTTTTACTTGTGGTTGTTGCTGAAGGCCAAAACTCTGAAATATTTCCCATGGCCAATAGAACATCCATTCCATTAATTTGGAGTCATTCCAGGATTACATTTCCTTGCTTATGAGTTTTCTGGGACCACCAGATTCATACTTTCTAGGTCAAAAAATCTATCAGCCAGAACCAGGGAGGAAAAGATAATTAAAAATACTGCAACATTCCATAAATCAACTACGAATACCAAATACTTCCCCTCTTTATGGAACAAACAGCCAAATGAGCCATTATTTTTTCGTTTTTTTTCTTCAGTAAGGCTAAAGCAAGGGATTTTTAGGGTTTCCCTTTCTTGGAAAGGAGATATAGGTTAGATTACACTATTTAAATAGGGCAAAGCCACATAGACTATCTGTCGAAGAAGAGTGATGCTTTCACGGAGGACTTTCTGAGAGAAAATGGCTCATTACTCATGCGGAAAACTACAAAAACTGATCATGCAGTCAGCCTGCTTACTTGGTTTCAAACCACAGCAGGTAAAACTCCAGTATGCTGCAGTCTGAACCACACAGACACTGGTGGAGTTTGGAAGGGAAGGGAAGGGTAAAAATTTGAAATTGGAATATTTATGCATAATTATTAGCCTTCACGCTGTCAAAGCAAAAACTGAGAAATGCCGCATTATTGCCAGAACATTTAAAGTAATCAAAGGGTTAAAAAGGTTGATATCAAGATTCTAACTTAAGATGCACTCCTGCATTGCAAAACATGCAAATCAAAGAAGTAAATGGCTTACATACTTGTACATATATAATACATTATCTTTCTTAATTTTTTTTTATATGTGTGCATATATATATATCAAAACCACAAAGACAGGAAAGATATGAAATTTAAAACCAGTAAAATCTATTTTAAAATTCTTCCATATTTTGTGGTTTTGGTTCTAAATTTCTTTCTATTTTGTCCATAATTAATTAATTTTTCAGCAGCATATGGTGCAGAAATAATATTGAGATATTTTTGTTAGAAAACAACTTGGCATTCGGAATTTATTACTTTTATAGTACATATGCATATATGTATAATTATTATAATAACCATATGTATAATATATAAAATAATTTTTGATTAAAAGCTTCACAATAGCAGCTACAGAATTTAAACTGTAAGTTAGAATTAAAATTAAATATTTTTTAGCCTATATTTTTGTACATACAAGTAATGAAGACATTACAATTATATAATATTCTTATACTGGTTTGATATGCATTGATATTTCTAAATTCCCCATAAGTTTTTACAACAAATTTCTCATAAAAATGTTCTTTTTTGATCGTATCGGAGAATTGCCTCGATATTTGAAAATTATTCATTTAAATATAAATTTTATATACTAGTTTCTCATGATTAAAAGAATTCAAACATGCAAGGCAGACGAAATGTAATCATACCCAAATTATTGCAAATTTTTTGGGGGAGAGTTAATTCCCCTTGATAAGTCAACCCTCTTCTGAAAAATCAGCAATAATTTACTTAATACTGGCACCTGCTATCATAACTTAGATAGGCATATGATTATTTAAAGCACAAGAAGGCTAGATGTATCAGGAATGATATCAATCTAAGAAAAATTGTCCTGTATTTATGACACACATGAGAGAACCATATAAAACATCCAGACTGCCATAACTTGAAGTGCTTTCTTATTCATTCAGCTGTTTCATGTATTTAGTCAGTGACGGGTCTTGTAACATTTTAAAATGAAGACATGTGAAACTTCTTTATATGTTCTTATTATCAGCACTGGAGGAGAAGATTTTTAGTGAAATTCTGATCCCAAACCACTGTCTATATCTGCTAAAATATTTAATTTTATGATAGGAAATGGATTCCTATTAGATATGAACTGGAATATTTACCACAAAAATTTTAATTAACAACTTTTGACATATTTATATGGTTCTATCAAGTTTGTTTTTATATATGTGCTTTCCTTTTTTGAAATGTGCAATTTTGATACATGCCATTGCAGATTTTGAACTACTTTTAGGTGTATTGCAGTTCTTTAATACGGGGGCTATTCAGAAAATAACTTACGTTTTGCCACTACATGGTGAGAGATGGCATTAGTATCAGCATCTTGGTGTATTTACTGAATCTTTACGCATTTAGCTGTAATCGTTGGCAGTAAGTGTTGCCTCTGCTTTGTTCACAGTGAATGTTTAAAATGTGTGCGGCAATAGAAAATCTCGCCAGTTGTGAAGTGCAATCAGTAATTAGATTTTTGGTCATCAAAAAACTGAGATCAGTTGAAATTTATCGGGAACCTTGCACGGTGTATGGAAACGACATAATGAGTGAAGCTGGAGTAGACAATGGTGTATCATGTTTAAAATTGATCGCACTAATGTTCACGAGGAAGTGTGAAGTGGTCGGCCGAGCATTATTAATGCTGAACTGGTAAAGAAAATCAACGAAAAGATTCATGGAAACCGCCGCTACAGAATTTTTGAGCTCTCACTTGAATTTCCTCAAATTTTATGAACATTGTTGATTGGTGTTGTGATGCAAGACCTAGGCTATCACAAGTTTTGTGCCAGATAGGTATCAAAACTCTTGTCAGATGACCACAAAACATGTCAGAACATGGCAGCCTCTTTGACATTTCTTGAGGTGTACCACGAACATGGTAAATCACTTCTTGATTGTGTCTTAATAGGAGATAAGACATGGTAAAGTTTGTGACTTGTAAGACAAAACAACAGTCTATGGAGTGGGGTCACAAAAGTTCTCCCAGAAAACCAAGGAAATGCAAACATTGTCATCAAGAAAAATCATAGAAACTGTTTTCTGGAAGAGGGAAGGTGTGCTTCTAGTGAATTACTATGAACGTGGTGAAATAATAAATAATGAGAGATATTGTGAAGCATTAAAGAAATTAAGAAGAGAAATATAAAACAAGCACCAAGGAAAGTCTGAGTTCCAAGGTTTTTTTCATTCATGACAGCGCATGGCTCAAGGATGGTTTCGGATGGGAGTTATTCGGTCATCCACCATACAGTCTGGACCTTGCTCCTAGTGATTTCTACTTGTTTACACACATAAGACTTGTCTTTCACAGTGTTTCAATGATGACGAGAGGAACTGCATGCAGGCGTTTGTGTATTGAAGTCTCAGGTAGCAACCATTCTATGACGATGGAATTAACAAGCTCATGTACTGTTATAAAAATGTTTATTTATTTATTTTTTTTTTAAATTCTAAAACGTACTTTACTTTTTGAATAGCCTATGTAGTTTTGGCACAATTCTCTTGGGTATTAAGATTTCCTAATTTCAATTTGCAATAGTTTTACATTTCCTTTCCTGGGAGATAATCACGGAAGGAAAACTGATGATTAAATTTATATACACATACATACAATAAGTTACAGCTATTCAAAAACTGTAATAAAAATAAATAGGTTTTGTAGTCATCTCATAAACTAGAACTTTGCTGTTAAATAAAATTAAAACCGAATTTAAAAAGCATATCCAGTTGTTCCTACACTTTTTGCTCCTTTAGAACACAGATCAAAGTAAATAAAAAAAGTATCAAAATGCTCTGGAAAAGCATATTATCATTTGAATAAAAAATAATAATACATTAGATTAAAAATTTCACTGATTGCTATTTCAGAATTTTATCATTTGCATAAGATTTTATTTCTGATGTAATGACAACATACACCTCAAATACAGTCTACAATTTTGCAATTGATGTGCATATATGGCATTAAAAATGACTTAATGTTGTAAATATTAAACATAAAAAGTTTTTGAATGATTCACTTTCTTATGCTGATGAATAATGCATTTTTATAACATGGGGGGGGGAAATTGACATTGTTGATGACTTTTAATTGGTAACAATTTTCTGTCCGAAAAAGTTTACATTTCAAGTAGTGAAAACAATAACACCAATTTCAGGTTTAAGAAAAAAATGACAGATTTCTTAGTGAAGATTTTAAATATTCACATGCAGTTATTATTTTAAGTCTTATAAACTTAATCTCATATATATTTTCAATGGTAACAGTTTCTTTAGATTTAAAATATAAATATAAAGTCTATTTTTATATTTAAACTAAATGTTGCAAGCAGGTACTTATATCATTGCAAAATTAATCAAATGAGACTGTTAAACACATATTCTCTGATGATGGCTCAGGAAGATTTGCTAATTTTTGCCTCTAAACATGTGAAAGTATAATAAAAATTCTATTCAAATCTGCTATTCAATAAAAATAATAGTAACATTTTGTGGGGTTGGAAGTATTTTAATTAGGAATAAATAACTGCATCTGTAAAAGGAATATATTCTAACTAATGATGATTACATGACTGCTAATTTAGGGTTTCATATCATATGTTTTGTCATTCCAAAATTACTTTACTTCTGGATATGCAGAAATACTTCTTTTACTAGTTATAACTGTATCTGTGTTTTCAGGTCTGCCATACAATCACTCTTTAATCAAACTGCTATCATAAAGTTGAGATTAAGTTTATCACTCAATAATAAATAAACTGACAAAAGTAAGCTGAAAAATTTGGTCATACTCTTTATAATGGCTGAAATAAACACAGTCATTCAAATTTTCAACATAAAAGAAAGACTAATTTTAACGAACATCTAAAACCCATTTTTACCTGGTAATTGAGTGATAATAATAAACATTGCCTTCAGAATCAGTGGCTGTCCTCCAGTTCTTAGGAAGCTTCACAGGCTTAGGTTCCTCTTTAACTGCAGGTGCAGGGGGCTGAACAGTCACTGATGTTGTAGCCTGCACAGGCAATGCATTAGTTGTCTGAACTGGTAAAGAAGCAGCAGTTGTTTGCACAGGGACCTGAACCAGAAATTCTTAGATTATTAATTGCTTTGCATTTTTAAGTAAATTTTGAAAAGCTAAGCAGTTTAAACTTTTGTTTGGAGAAACATTACACACTAATACCTATAAAGCAAATTAAACAGAATAATGTTCTATTAACTAGAACGATGGTTCCTCAAGTATGGGTTGCAACTCACCAATAGGTTAAGAGAAAATTTAATATACATATTTAATCACAGGATTTTTTATTATCTAATCCTTTCCTTCAAGACAACAGTTTCTATTTTAATACTTTTAAATTACCATTACTTTGTAAACCTAATTTTTATTTTCAATAGACAATTTTTTCAATAATATGGGAATAATTTTTGAAGCCCAAGAAAAACAGTTTCTAAGAAATAAAACATCAGTAGATACACTGGTCAAATTAAGAAAGCCTTAATATTTCCAATTAAGAAACAGGAGACATATACAGTACAAAGTCAATAATCCGGAATGATCAATAATCAGGACCTCAAAACCACAAACTTTACGCATGTGTGTAGAGAATGCACATACATTATGTATGCGCACATTGAAAGAAATGTTTAATGAAGTAAACAAATAAATATTTAAGCTTTTTTTTTTTTTTGTTTGTTTTTGTAAAATTTGATACCCTTTAGATCATAATTGCTTTTTATTTCATAAATTATGGTTTCATAATTTTTAATAGTATAATTTCTGCATGCCATCTTACCAGATTTAAATTGATGATCTATAATCCGGAAAAACCCCTAATTCGGAATCGCCGAAGTCGAGACAAGTCTGGATTACGGACTCTGTACTGTATTAAGAAAAAAGAGAAACATAAATGCCCTATTGTCCGACACTATTGTTCAGAAAATCTCATCTATTTTTCTGCGGCTAAAATAATCAAAGACCATCTCCTGTTGATAAAACAGATTTTCTAGAGGCTTTTTGTATTTATAAAACTTTCAGTTCTAATTAACAGCCCCTATTCCAGCCTGTCTTTACCCTCAGCTTTTAAGGAAATTATTTGATAACTGTTTCCATTTTTCATCAATAGATAGCAACAGTAACTTGACATCTTTCCTCTCAGTGTTATAGCTAGAGCATAGGCTTCTCTTTTGTCATCTGCACTTCTGTAGCTGAAGAAGAATGTTTTACAATCAAAATTAAAAGCCCTTTGAAATTAGTCCATCAAATTTACTGAACGTTATGTTGATTTTGCACCTCTAATAACCATTATTTGCAGATTTATATTAACTCAGATAAGCATATTATTATTCAAAGCACAACACGGCTAGATGTGTCTTAAAGGATAACAATTTCGGAAAAATTGTCCTGTATTTATGACACACATGATAAGAACCATACAAAAACATCCAGACTGCCATAACTTGAAGTGCTTTTTTATTCATTCAACTGTTTTATCTTTTTAGTCACTGACAGGTTTTGAAACATTTTTAAAAAAATAGAGGTGAATCTTCTTTATATGCTTTTGCTATCAGCACTGCTGAAAATTTCTAGTGAAAGTCTGATTCCAAACCACTGTCTATATCTGCTAAAATATTTAATTTTATGATAGGAAGTGAATTCGTTTTATATATGAACTGTAATATTTGACACAGAAATTTTAATTAACAACATCTTTTGACCAAAAAAATGAAAAATAAATAATTTCCAATGGAAATAAATATAAATCAACTTCCACTTATCTAACACAGAAGTGTTTTGGTTCTCAGAAAAATGAGGTTTTATAAAATATTATACGGAACTATATATATATGCGTATAATAAATATCATAAAGGATACACATTTTTTTTCCTGAGGATCAATAACACATATATTTGTTCCTTGGATGAATAAGCAGTTTCCCAGTGAGATTAAATTGCAATTGCTGTAATGTGGCAGTAAATCATAATGGCCATGAAAGCAAACGGTATACAGTCAAAAGTCGTTAATTCGGACACCCATAATTCGGAATGATCTATAATCCGGACCTCAAAGCTACAAACTTTCTGCGCATGCGTCGGGTGCACGTGCGGTACTCTGCGATTATTGCGTGTGGCAAAATACGTTTACGCATGCGCGTTTAATGTATAATGGACGGTATAAGCTAAGCTAAAATTATCTAATTATCATTTCAGTTAATGTTGCAGATTGCGTTGTTCCTTAATCTTCGAATTGGATCCGGTTATTATTTTTTGCAGACTGTTAGAGCAATTTTATAAAGTAAGCTTGAACTTTCGATTATGTCAAATAGAATTTCCGATATCTATTACTATATGTAAAGGAATACAAAGCGAAAGTATCTTTCGGAGTCCATTAAACAAAAAATGGATAAAGGCATATTCTTTCTGATCTAAACTTGTTTATCTTTAAGCGCGGCAGCGGAAATGAATTGGAAGTTGATCTGTCAGCCACTATCCTTATCTTCAGGGCAGATGTTTTATTTTATTTGGCTTATAATCCTTACTAATGTAGTATTTCATCTCATGTACTCCGTCTTTGATATGATTTAAATAAACATTAAATTCGCTTCCGATAGCGAAGAAAGTGACAGGTTATGAAAACGAAAAAATTTCGATGACAAATTAGTCTGTATTCTCGACACAGCAATTATAGGACTTGAAACAGGAATTTGTAACTGACAAGAAATATGTCTGTTTATAGAATTAAAGAGAATGTATTATCACATAAAAAACGAAGCAACTAAAACTTACCTTGAAAGAAATGTTTAATAAAGTAAACAAATAATATTAAGCTTTTTTGTAAATTTGATACCCTTTAGATCATAATTGTTTTTATTTATAAATTACGGTTTCATATTTTTAACTTTATAATTTCTGCATGCCATTTTACCAGATTTAAACTGATGATCTATAATCCGGAATCGCCGAAGTCCCGACGAGTCCGGATTAACGACTTTTGACTGTACCAAAAATATGAGCTATTGTACAGCGTTGCCACTTGAACAGGAAAATGAAATTCCCTGACGTTTCCAGGTTTGTTTTAAGAAAATTCCAGTCTGTCCGTGTAATGCACATTGGCTGCACTGAGAGGTAAATAAATTATGGTACCACTTGAAAACAAAATAATTTGCAAATTACATACGACTTGTATACATAATATATAACCCCCAAAACATTACTATTATAACTATATAATAGGAATTGTATTCTCCAATGCAGATTGAGATTAGAATCTGCCCAATCTGGATTAAAAAATATCTTTTATTGCAAACATTTTGCAGCTAAACAAAAGAAAAATCTATTTAATGATATTTTTAAATAAATTCAGGTATTTTAATTATTTACAGCAAAAAGCAAAAAATATGTGCATTAATTTGGATGGTATGTTATAATACTGCTAGATTCAAGGATAATTAGAGAAAATTTCCTGAAATCTGAAAGTATAGTTATTAATAATAAAAAATTAGAGGAGAGCACATTAAGATATATTTAAAAATTGATTAGAATATAAGCACGATATTTGGAGAATATATTATATTAAATGGTTAGGTAGAACTGATACTGTTTTATTTACGCAAACGCAAACAAGGCTTTTATTAAAAAAAAGGGTTCGAAAGATTTGCGGTAAAAACCTAGTATTGTACAGCCCTTGTCGATTTGAACTTGTGCCAGACCAAAATGACCCATTTACTGTCTCTATGTCCCCAAATCCTGTGTATACGGACAGGAGTTAGATTAGAATACATGGAGGCTATTCTAACCTCTGGTACTTTCTATAGATAAACGATTTATTTTATATGCGAATACTATTTCTAGTCAAAATGCACGCATATGCAATGCGAGTCTCTGATTCTTGAGGTTATGAAACGGCGTGCTTTCTAAGACACTCTGATGGAGCGCAGAAATGCTTATGCCACAGGCCGCAAAATTGCAAGAAAAGTGATCGTTCCAAACGCGGGTATGAACTCTGTTTTTTTTTGGGGGGGGGGCTGCCGTATGAAATTCCCTGACTTTTTGGTCAATTTTTGAATTCCCTGACTTTTTCCGGTTTTTCCAGGTAGAGTGGCAACCCTGTATTGTATTTCACAGTGATGCTATTTGGATTAAACAATGATTTTGATCTATTCAAATATCTTAGTAGATGGCAACAGCCTTTCTTAAACATTTCAACCTGGGGGGGGATTCATTCCTGAGGGAGGAAGGTGGTCAGCTGGACTCCACCTACTTCCTACCGTATTATTAAAAATAATCTAAATAAATGTACATGTATTTTTGGAGTTTTGGAAGAAGGGGTATGATCTTCTAGCAGTGGTGAGAGGGGTGCATGAGGCAAAACAGATTGACAACCATTGTCTTAGATAAATATTTTTACAAAGAATATTTTACGTAACTTGTTCAGATACACTATATATCTGGACCAAAATAGATTATCTTCAGAATATCAGTAATTACTATAAATAAAAACTGAATCTTTCCAAATGTAAATATTTTCATCAAAAGATTCATGGCATCTCTTATGAAGACATTCATAAGGAATAAAGAAATGACTTATCAAACCATGCTGATTAGTAACAATCTCAAAATTTTCTTTGTTTAGGAAATATACACACAAAATATTTAACACATAAAAATAGCAAATTAAGCAAAAGTAACAGTACACAAATATATCCAAATGGTTATTCACTCATGATTTTACAATGATAAATACATATTATTAAGACAAATGCACTAAATAAATAATAGAAATAAATTAATATGAAAGATCTTACATTTTCTGTATATGAAACAGGCGGACCAGAGTTTGAAAGTGGTGGTGGCTGCTGAATAAAATAGAATGGTGGATTTTGGTTTCCAAATGGGTTTGCATTTTGAGGATAATTAGAAACAGTTGATGTCTGTCCAGGAATAAACTGGGAAGAACTAGGAACAACAGATGCTGGTTGCATGTTGGGTGGTAAAAGATAGTTAGAAGGATTAGGGGGGAGATTGGGATTTAATGGTTGGCATGGCGGCATACCAACATTTGGTGGTGGTGTCTGTAATAAAGATGGAAGAGATAAAGTTGGTGGTGGCACTGCAGTTGTAGGAGGTGGCATGCCAGATGTTGTAGGACCAAATGGACTAAAAAAAAAAAAAAAAAAAAAAGATATTTATATATGTGAGGATTTTCATTATAATTTCAATATTAAAACTTTTAAGAAACTGCGAACATTACACTTTGTATTACACTTGGAATGGGAATGGTATTATTGATATATTTTTATAAATAATTAAAGAACAATAAAAATTGAATCTTTTCAAAAAATAAAATTATGATTATAGAGGTCAAATTTCACCAAATTTGATCCAGTATGTTTGACAATTATATAGCATGTGATCTACCAGTTTTAACAAGATTTTTACTTTTCAGATGGGTGCACTAAAAATTGTCATTGTTTTAATGATTTTTTCTTCACTTTGTCACATGTTTAAAGTTAAAAACAGCACTTTAGTGGCGCCTTCTAAGAAATAAATAATTAACCTAAAAAGCAGATTGCATACGATAGTGATCTCAAACTGGTGGCCTGCATACGCTTTCTCTTTACACAATTTTATGTGGCACACAAATACATTTCAATTATGAAAAGGACCCAACTGACTGATGAGCAACTACAATTTGTGATGAAGGTAATTTCTAACAATTTCTCTCCAAAGCTACAGATTTCTACTGGAAACGAAAATCCATCAAGTGCCAAGCTGTAGTAAGAGATAAAAAGGTTTATAATTATTTACATACTAACATAATTATTTACATTTATGCACTGAAGAAAAATGTACAAGAGAAGTAGTCTAGGTTGCCAATTTTTATTCTCAAGTTTAGTTCCATTTAAAAAATTTTCTCTGAAAACTTAGAAAGTTTTGATAATTTGTTTATTTTTAATTTAAAGTAAGTTACTTAATGATCTATTAAATATGTTAGGATTATTTGAAAGAAATATCAGTCTAAGTATTTAATATTTAGCTGTCAGTATATTTGAGCTACAAAGTGTAACCAATAAAAATGTCATCTAGGTACCAAACTTTAGATTTCAGATAAAAAAATAAACATACAATTTTTTTTAAATCTATAATATTATTTATGCACATTTTGCTAAACATTTAGTAACTGAAATTTAGAATTTATTTATAATATTTTTAATTTTGTTAATAAAAGAATTTAATTAATAAAAATCTGGCCTTTCAACTTCAGGTCACACATGCAGTTTGAGACCACTGGCATATGACATGATTACTGACTTTTTTCCCCCCCCTGCTATCTGCAATTCAAAATAAATTTCTTTCCCGACCCTGCTTCTATCCAGAGCATTAATTTTGAAATATATTATTTTTAGCAATACACTACAGCAGTGTGGTCCAAACTTTAGTTATCTGAGGGCCAATCAAACATTAGTATAGGAGAGTAAGAGCCAAAGACATTAGAAAGAAAATGAATTACATATAAATCACTAGTTTAATATATTACTTTATTTTACAGTCTAGAAATCAATGTGATGATTGGCATTGCTTTTTTGCTACAAGTTTATAAATGTCTACTGTAATTTCAGTAAGGTAAAGTCTCAGGCTTGATTCCAATGAAGCACTTTCAATGTGATTTCTCGTTTTTGATTTAATTTGTTTGACAGCAGAGAAAGTACTTTCACACACGTATGTATTGCCAAACAGCGGTGACATTTGCAAAGAAAATTTAAGTAGTTTGCGAAAATGTTCTTTAGAAATCAGTTTTCAGAAATGTTTAGTGACATCACACTTTAGTCTGGCAGAATAAATCTGCCTGAAGATCACAAATTTCCATTTGAAGGTCACACTTACTTCAATCTCTATGGGGTTGTTTAACAATGAAAGTTTTGTTTTTATGGAGTCAAAATCCTGGAATCTGCTCTGAAACTCTTTCTTGACACCAGTAATTATTTAATGAAACATACTAAAATGTGCGTCATTTTTTCTTTCAGCTGCTGACAAAATGGGAAGTGTGCCATATTATTTGCCTTCAGTGCAATTTGCATTATATTAAGTTTTTTGCAAAATCCTTCAATATGTGCATAAAGCTGGGATATATTTTGTTTTCTGCCTTGTAGTTTCAGGTTTAAAGCACATAGATGGGATGTTAAATCTGTCAGAAAAGCAAGCTTATTTGAAAACTGGATTTCTTCCTTTTTTTTTTTACTCATGCCTAATGTTTTCATTTTTGAGGAAAACAAGAATTTCATTTCTCAACCCAAAACACTGTTGCAGACAATTTCCAGCACTTAACCAGTATACTTGACAGTACAATGAAATACAGTTAAAAGTCGTTAATCCGGACTCGTCGGGACTTCGGCGATTCCAGATTATAGATCATCAGTTTAAATCTCGTAAGATGGCATGCAGAAATTCTAAAATTAAAAATATGAAACCATAATTTATGAAATAGAGAACAATTATGATCTAAGGGTATCAAAAATTTACAAAAAAAAAGCTTAATATTTATTTGTTTACTTATTAAACATTTCTTTCAATGTAAGTTGTTTAAGTTGCTTCGTTTTATGTGATTTTAATAATTTCTCTTTAATTCTATAAACAGACATAATTTCTTGTTCAGTTACAAAGGTTCCGCTGTTCAAGTCCCGTAATTGCTGTGCCGAGAATACCGACTAACTTGTCAATCGAAATTTTTTCGTTTTCACTAACCTCTCTGTCACCTTCTTCATATCTTTATCCATTTTTTGCAGCAATTCCACTTTTTGTTTGATGGACAACGAAACATACTTTCGTTTTGTAGATCCTTTGGGAGCTCCAGCATCGGAAATTCTATTTGACATAAACGAAAGTTCAAGTTTACTTTTATAAAATTGCTCTTACAGTCTGAAAAAAGTAATAAGCCGGATCTAGTTCGAAAATTAAGGAACAACGCAATCATCAACATTAACTGAAATAGATAATTAGATAAATTTAGCTTATACCGTCTGTTATATATTAAACGTGCACGCGAAAACGTATTCTGCACTTGCGCACACACATATGCGCAGTCGTAAAGGTCTTACACGCACGCGTAAACGCCTATGCGCATGTGTCAACGCGGCACATACGCAGAAAGTTTTTAGCTTTGAGGTCCGGATTATGGGTGTCCAAATTAACGACTTTTGACTGTATCACTATTTCTAATGACCAACCATTGCTTTAGCTTCACCTGTTGCAATGTCAAAGCACTTCCCGAAATCTTCATATTTAGAAATGGCAATATCCAATATATTTGAATATATCAATACCTTTGGTGCTAGTTTCTAATGATTTTAATTCCAACAGTTCTTCATGAATTTCAAATTCTTCATTAATCGTTTTGACAAAGATAAGGACCTAGCTGATGTCCATCTAGAGCTAGTAACAGTAAAATCCCCATTTTTCCAAAATGCCCTTGAAAGTATCTGAAACTTCCCTACCCATATCATTAATTCTTCTATTTACTGTCTGATGGAACAAGGGCATTGTTTCAAAATTTCTAGCTATCATATTATGTCCAAATGAAGATGGCATTTTTATGGCACATCTTTTATAATTAACTCACCATCCCTAAAAGACTTTTTACTTTTAGCTAGCTCTAAGCATACCTCATAAGATGCCTTCAAACCAGTGTTTGATGGTTGCTGAAAGATATTCTGTCTGGTTAGATTCAGCTTCAAATCACTAAACAAACAACTCCTGGCACTTCTCTGGTATTGGTCGTATTTTGATTTATGCAAGCTGCTACAGTACAAAGTCTGAAATCCACATATCCATCATCCAGAACGATCTAAAATCCGGACCTCAAAACCACCAACAACATATTTTCTCATAGGCTTTATGCATGCGCATTTGGTTCCCCCCCCTCAACGCATAATAAAACATCTGGAGAGTCCTGATCCATAATTTCACTTGGACACTAAATAAAATACACCTCGTTATTGAAGAAACAAACATTTTAACATAAATTTGTACAATCAGTAATTTGGCTCAATTGCTGCATAATCTGCTTTGGAACACATCTCAAAGGGAAGCATTCCATATAGATAGATCGTTGACCTGACACCAAACTGGAGAATCATTATTTATTATATTTTCCTTTCATCACCACATGTTTTATCAAAACATGACAACTTGAGTAATGACTCATGTAGCGATGCCTAAACAATTTTTTATGTTAGTAATTGAATAATAAAGGACATTTTATGTTGACATTATGCTTGGCGATCATTACAGATTTAAGTTGAAATGCGCTAAAAAAATGTCGACGAGGAAAAATTAAAAAAAAAAATGCCATATGATAAAAAAAGATTTTTTTTGATTAAACTCATAGACCCAAAGATTACATTTAGGTCTAGTTGACCACACTGGGTCGCAGAATGTAGAATCCACAGAGACTGCATCAGGTGGGAAGATATCTAGTGCTGGCTCTTAATAAGGCTTACTTATATGTGGGAATTTATTTATTCAGAACTCTGATAAGCCTTAAGCATGAGTTAGAAATAGACATAAGTACAATAAATAACTAAACTAATATTATTCAGGCTTAAATGTCTCAGTGCGCAATAGAAGCAAGATAAAATTTAATGGAACAACTTGTCGTTAGTTGCCAAGCTAATGATGCATAGCCAAATATGTATAGTGAACGATAGCTAAATATGATGATGATGATGATAGCCACGAATTTTAAAGGTTTTCGGATATCACCAAACAAAGGTGAAATTTTTCAATTAACGGATTTTGTAAAGAAAGGTGGAGAAGCGGTAATAAACGAGGATGATATAATAGAACTTTTTCATTGTGACAACAATGCTTCTCAATCATCAATCAATTAATGAATGGCGAAATCTGTAGTATGGTTGTAAATCCAGAAAATACTGCTACTGATATTGAAGAAAGTGACAGAAAACTTCGATTGACATGTTAGTCGGAATTCTCGAACAGCAGTTACAGGACTTCAACAATGTAACTAAACAAGAGATTATATATCTATCTACAAAATTAAAGAGAAAGTATTAGCACCAAAAAAACGGAGCAACTTAAACAACTTACATTGAAAGAAATGTTTAATAAGGTAAACAAAGAAATATTAAGCTTTTTTTGGTAAATTTTGATACCCTTTAGATCATAAATACTTCATTATATCATAAATCACAATTTCATATTTTTAATTTTTTAATTTCTGCATGTCACTTTACTAGATTTAAACTGCTAATCTAATATCCAGAAAAAACCCAAACCTGGAATCGCCAAAGTCCCGACGAGTCCAGATTTCGGACTTTATACTGTATAATGTCTACTCACATTATACTCCTTTGAAACACTTAAGTCTTGACGACAGATAAAACACTGTTGTTTTCCTTTATGTTCAACAAAAGAGTAACATTCCTGCCACTTGGACTGAAATTGTTGTTTCTCATTTTCAACACATCGTTTCTTTAGTCCTGCCATTTTAGGAAGTACTGAATGAAAGTGAAAATGGAAGCATGTATGCCACGGAGTATAAAGGTCATAGAGTGAAGCTCATCAAAGCCAAGATTGACAGCTAGCCAAACAGCACTGTTGCACATTTTTTCCTGGTAACAAATGGTTACCCCCCTTTCCACCCCCATGCTTCCGTTCTCATGACCGTCAACATGCCACAATTTTAGCAAAATCAAATGCCAATAAAAGCAATACTACAAAAGAGCTGGTAAGATTGTGCTTGCCCAATTAATCAGATCTAATTCAATATCGCTACTGCCTTATTATCGAGGTGGCCATTACAGGAGAAATGAAAATTGTAAGGTGCTGATATATTTAGGAATGAAAGAAATTGTCATCTGATGGACAGCTTTACCAATATCAGTGGTTTCCTGATAAATCTGCTTTTTTGTACTCCCTGCAGCGCAGGTTTGCCAGCTAGTTCGCATCCTAGCGACTGTTTTACACTGCTTTTTTTTCACAAATACAACATATTATGTTTATTATTATTTAAAGCAGTAAGAAGGGTCTTTTGTTTTTCTAAATGTTTAACTAACATTTTTTTTCCAGTAAGAAGGACGTGCCAACAAAATGAATAAGAGGGCCACATGCGGTCCATGGGTTGGACCACAGTGGACTATGGAATAAGTCTCATTATTAACAGCGTGAGAGCCATATCTCCAATTGGTACGTAAATTTTCATTACTTTTTAAAGTGCTCTTTACATCTGAGATAATATTATACATTTTTTTCTACTGATATGTAACATTCAAAACTAATAATAAATTATGTATTTTAGTTTCATAAAAAAATTAAAACACAATTTGATGATTTTTGTACACTATGAAAATCTTTTGAAAACTATATCTTTTCAAAATTGATCTTTAATTTATTTTTTGTACACATATATATACTTTACACTTTTTTTGGAGCAGATTTGTCATATAGAAACCTATTATGGGCAGGAATGCAGTAAAAAGTCAAAAAATGAATGCAAAAATTATTATTCACATAGGAACTAAAAATTAATTGAGGCCTCTTTTTATTTAGTATTAAATGAAAACGACTATGAAACTTTCCAAATTATTACTACCTGAGGTTGTGGATAAACCATCTGAGGTGAGAACATAACTTGAGGTGCTGGATCCAAATGCTGGAGAGGAGTGGCTGGCGGATTTACTGGAGGAGGGAAATTAAAAGGAGATGGCTCAAAAATATTTGGAGATGGCAAAAGTGGTGGCCGGGTAGAAACTTGAGCACCAGGAAGTGGGATATTGGCAGGAAAAAGAGGAGTGGCAGACCCTGATGGAGAATCTAAAATAAAAGGATAATAAAAATGCATTCATCTAGAAAGAATATTTCTTTTACTAGTTTACACTATTGGCAACATACAATATTTAATTATTTTAATTCAATTATTCTCATAATATATTAATTTTATATAATTTATCCCCACCCTTTTTTTTTTTTACTTCTGACTTTTAATTCCGAATTCTTATTTAGAATTATAACATTAAAAACAGTTCAGAACCATTACTGTGTGAAACTAATTAAAAGGAAAACTGGTCTCACTTTTAGTTACCTTCTTTATGAATGGCTTACCGTGGGCCTCGATACACTGATCAAGGCCCACGGTAAGCCATAAGTATTTATCTCAGTTAATCTCGCTTATTTCATAATATCAAGATAATCTTGACTTCATAAATTGGCACTAATACCTAACATCAAATACAGTGATTTTATGAAAGTGACCATAATGATTAATTCCAAAATACTGCATTCCACATTTTTGACTAATGTTTTATTAACTGAAGCAGTTAAAAATGCAAGCTGAGTTTGTTCAGCTTACATTGCTGAGTTGCTGTTGAGTTAAAAATGTAAGCTGAAATATAAGTTCAGATCAGGAATTATGAATGAAAATTAACGAATTGCTGTTGTATTCAGTGAAAGCTTCAGCAAATTATTTTGTCAATGGCAGGGAATTTAGAATGATTTTTTATTTTTTTCCATGGCTAGGCATCAGCTGATTAGGCATTAATATGATGGTGAAACATGATGGTGAAGATGTCACTTTAGCATCCCCTCAAAGTAAACACTGCCCAAATATGTAACTGCAACTGCGAAGGAAGAGATGAAAACATTCCTAAGAATCATGCCTTATGTAATATTTCATGCTGTGCATGGTCATCAGACTTTATTAACCACAATAACTAACTCAGGCATCACGTATTTAGAGAGACAGAAAACTGCACTCAGTAAAATCTTTAAACAAGCTATGGTTATGGAGGCACATAGGTCTTCATATCACGGATGTTCCCTGAGCAGACTTTGTCTTTCACGTAGCCCGAAAAGAAGAAATGAAGAGGAGGGACGTTGGGAGATCTTGGAGGCCAGGTAATTGGCCACCATGTCTTATCTATTGGTTAGGGAAAGTTGTACCTAAAAATGCACGAACATGTTTGCCCCAGTGAGGAAGGGCCCCATCTTGTCGGAAGATAACAGCAAGTTGTAAATGCTGTATTTGGGGTATTGCATAAATCTGTAACAAGTCCAGATAAATGTTTGCCGTCATAGACGTCTCAACAAAGAAAAATAGTCCTATGACTGTATCATGTGATAAAACACATCAGACATTAATTTTTGGGCTGCTCCATTCCAATTTGTGTAGTGAATGGGGATTTTCTGAGCCCCAAATTCTCCAGTTGTGTTTATTAATGTTGATGCTAACATGAAATGGAGCTTCATCTGAAAAAGAGATGTGGTTTAGAGAATCGTGTTCATTTATAATATCCCCACAGCAAATGCTGCATGCTGTGGCCCATCATTTGGTTTCAGTTTCTGTACAATCTAAATTTTACATGCATGTATCTTCAGTTTTCAATGCAGCACATCATGAATAGTTGATTGTGTATAGATACTTCAGAAGCTGCCAGCCTGATCGAATGACGGGGGCTCCGAACGAAAGTTTGCTGAACATCTTTCATACGTAAACGCCGATCACCTACAGATCCTTTCTGTACACTTCCCATTTTGAGAAATGTCTTATGTCACTTTTTTATGCTCTTAGCCTGGGATGGATTTCTTTTATAAACTGTTTGAAACATTCTTTGCACTTTTATTATGGATTCATGTTCTGCATACCAGAGAACAATTTGTGCCTTCTCTTACAATGACGCCAGTTTTCCGCTTGTCGGCTCAGTAGCAGAACTGGTGCATCAGATGCGAGAAAAAAGTATTTCCACCAAATTCTACGAATTCAGCTCTCATATGTGGCTAATATCACACTAGTTAGTTAGTTATAGACCCTTCCTTCATAACTAGGAGTCACAATAGTTCAATCCAGCTGACGCACCTCAAAGGAATTGCTAATCAGGAGCAGAGAGAGCATACATATCTCCAGACTTTGCAAGACAATTGAAGAACGCCCACAATTATGCGACTACCTCATATTACGGGAACTCAGACCACCGGGAGAATTCATCATCGCCTTTGGCATCCACTGGAAGTGACTGAGGAAAATACAGCTGAAGCACTTAAAGACCTCTTGCGACCGTCATCACCAAGTAAAATCTCTCGCAAAAGATCTTCGTCTTGACAGAGTTACAACAAAAACTGGATCTTAGGCATAGAAACCAGTATTAAGTAACAGCTGTTAACAAAGGGAAAGAGTCCTTTTCAATCTTACATTCGAGTAGCATGCTGTTGTTGAGTCATACCTTCCTTCTCCAAGTGTGGAAAAGATCACTTAGTACAAGAATATCAGTCAGAAGAAGTGAACTGTATCAGCTGCCATATTTCTAATACCACAAAGGGTTTCTTTTGCGAGAGAATTCTCAAAAGATCATTTAGCTAGTTCCTCAACATGTCTGATATACAGAGCAGTTCTTGACAGCAAGTCGAAAGCCTTGAACAAGGAACAAGCCCCACAACTCTTCTTCTAAAACTGGACAACAACCTAAATTTTTTGCAGGTCAACCTACAACACTCAAAAGCAGCTGCATTAAATGCAATACAGGAAACGACATAACTCCAAACAGATGCAGGCCTTCTACCAAGAATCTTAAACTATAAATGGATATATGCCAGGAATCCCAACAATCTTCAAAGTATTCTTGTCAGCAAACTGCCTAGCAGCTACAATATATAAAGGCCCACTAACTCCACTCCATAAGAAAACTACAGATCACACAGTCACTATTTTACTCGACTTAGCTGCAACTTCACTTGAAATAATGCCCATCTACTTCCTGCCAAGAGCTGATATGGATACTTCCCTATCAGAATTAGAAATTGGGCGAACAACTCAACTCCCACATAGAATAGTTGGAGAAGACTTTAATGCAACCAACCTACAATGGGGAGCACAGTTGGAAATTCTACAAGCAAGAATAGGCAAGAATTTGGAATTTCCAATAACCTGACTATTTTCAATGATGCACAGTCAAAGCCAACATTCTGGACCACTTGGGCACAAGGCTGGCTTGGTCTAACAATTGCATCAGCTAATACAGCAGCATTAATACAGGATTGGGAAGTCAGCAACCTATCATCTGTCACTGATCACCGCATTATCATATTTCACCTAGGGACCTTGCATACCTACATCATAAAACATCGCTATAAAACCTGCTATGATAGATATGAACCATTCAGAAATCAACTCCATTCGCACATGGTAAATCTTGAAACAAACTTGGATAACGGTCAAAGTCCAGAGAAACTTGATTATCATAACAACCAACTTGCGTGACATTTAATAAAAGCCTGTGATAATACCTTTCTCACAAATGTCATATTTACAACCAAAAGCGTTTCTTAGAGGACCCCTACACTAAATGCAGAGTGTAGCAAAATTCCCGCTTTGCACAAAAGAGTGCAAGCAACAACTGAGCAGCCACTTACAAGCCAATCGATGTTAGAATTTCGCAAAAACAGGCCGCAATACAAGTGCAACATTATGGCTGTAAAACTCTTTTCTTGGATGCACTACTGTTCCATGATGATGAAAAACTGTGGCTTAAAACAGAAAATAGCCTGTGACATTTTCAACCAACAATGCTGACAGCCTCACTCCTTCCTTCTGCTAAGTCAGGTTCAGATGTGGCGAGACAAATAACGGACTGCATATTTTACACAGATGACAACAAAGATAGTTTGACAGCACAAAGGCATGCAAGGCAGCTTTTCGACAAACACAGGTTGTCAACAAAGCAAAGAGCCACTGCCCACAACATATGAACCAAATACTAAAATACCTAGCTCTTACGAAGGACACTGGCCTAGATGGCCTAGTTAATAAATATGATTATCAAAATCATCTACCAGCAGTTTCCTTCCCTACTACATGTCCTCTTCAATGCATGTTAGAGGCTACGTCATTTTCCAAGAGGAATGGACGTAGCAGAAGTAGCTGTCTTCCACAAAAAACGGAAGGAACTGACTACACCAATAGCATGCCATCACATTTGCTTATTACCAGTGTTTGGAAAAGTCCTAGAATGTACCACCTTTACAAGGATCAACCATTACCTTGCCACCACCCACACCATTGCATCTAAACCAATATGGTACCCCACCTTAAAATTCTCAGGCAGCGTATTAGCAATCTCACTAACAGTACTGCAGGTATGAAATGGGCATACCAGCAAATCTCCTGAAAGCCTGGTACAAAACCATTTCAGAATGCATTATTTTGTATGGAACCTCCACCTTGGGACACAGTCTCACTTCTTCCATAAAAACCTTTGGTTTCCATACAAAGAAGTCAACTTCTGCTCATCTGTCGGGCCTATAGGACTTCTCCAACATCTGCGCTACAAGTCATTGCAGGTCTTTCCCCTATTGTTGTCAAGAGGGAAGCGACAGTGATAAAAGCCACAAGGCTGAATAAAAATACATCACTGTGAAGACACAGGATAATTCACACAGATTATGAAAAATACAAAGTTTGTTCACTTTTTCACCCAGCACAATTAGATCTAACAGAACCATTCGTATAAACTCAGATTCTCCAGTCTGTGTTGTGTGGGGATCTGCAAAATTGGATAAAGACAGCATTATCTTCTCCTGGAAATGACGCTAATGAAAGTAATTCAGTGTTTCAGGCAGAACTGTTAGCCTTATATGCAGCAATTAGCCACTGTCATAGGAATGGTCTTCATCAAGTTCATATTCTGCCTTAAGGCTCTAAGTACTCTCACACATACACAGCAGGAGTCTTCTGGTACAAAATATAGAAAATTCTCCTCAACATTGACCTCCTCAGATTGAGCATTTTCTTCTTAAAAATGCTGTCTTTTTTCATCCAAAATATAATATCTAATTCAAACCAAAAAATATTAGTCTCTATTTGCAGATAATCAAGATCAAACTCATATTCTTTATGCATAAATCAAGAGCAAAGACATATATTTTATACTGCAGCAATCAACAACAAGATAACTCAATGCACACAACTTGTCCTAAATTTTGTCATTTGATTTTATGAAATGTTAAGTTGTGTTATATGGATTTGTTTTTCAAAAATTTTATGAAATGTTAAGTTGTGTTATATGGAAAAAATTAATTATGTTTTTTAATACTTTTAACTTTGATTCATGGTGCCGGACAAAAAAAAAAAATTCACACTCAAATCTAATTCATAATATTCATATATCATTTCGACATTTTTATAAACATTCGTATAGTAAATCCATCAATCAATCATATAGTGGTAGTACAATTTAACTTTTTAGGTTTGCGTTGTGAGTAACCTATGCCAAAGGAAATATCAATAACTCCAAATTCAATTAAACTCTATGTTACTTAAAAGCCTCCCGGCTCAAACAAATGGAGGGACATGACAGACCACAGTAAAATATACTCAACATAAATACACAAATACAATTAAATTTTAAACACACATTTATTGAATTCTTGACTATTTTATATAATTAAATAATGGATAACTGATTAGTAATCCTACCACATATTTTTCTAAGCCAAAATAACACATAATACTACACCAAATTACAGCTTACATTAATTAAGATTAACATTATTTTTTTTTTTTCCAAATTAAGTAGGTGTAACAAAATTTAATCCTCCTAAAACTGGCATTCACTTGAAATTATAAATAACTTAATGCTCTTTGCAGCTCGCGCACATTTCTCCATACATCACGCAGGAAAATGTTCCTTGCGTCTCGCACAAAACTTTTAAACATCCCGCAGAAAAAGAATTCTCTAGAGCAAAGAAAAACGCAACCCAAGTCCTCTTGCCTCGGCAACCGGCTGCATGGCAAAGCCGGCAGCAGGGCAAAACGCCCCTCGTTCGCCCTTTTTTCTTCACATCGCCGCTGCTCAAAGTCACCAACCGGCACTCGTGAGAACAAGACCTGAAGGGTCAAGCCCCCACTTTTTACTAACTGTAATATTTAATTTATACAAGCAATAACAATATACAGGTAGATAAATCATTATTAACTGTCCTGCATTCGGGTAAACTAAGAAAGTGAGAGAGAGAAAATATACTTAAAAATTTCACTCACAGAAGGAAAGCAGTTTTTCCTGATAGCAGGATCCTTAGTGTTCAATCCACATGGAAATGAGCCAAGCCCATTTTTCTTTCGGTGACAACCCTTTATAAAGCATCTAAAAATCATTAGGGATCAAGAGTGGAAATTACAGTCTAATAATTCTTCAAACAGCCAGGAATCGCTTTATCTGTCCATTAGGTGGGAACCAATAGTCCAATTTAGAAGGATCTTTTATCAATTCAATAACAGGTAGCTGAATATATACCAGTTTTTTAGCACAATCACGTGCATCATCAAAGCGGCGAGACAACATTTTATGCTGAATGTTTTGGAAAAAGGCTCTTGGAGATAAACCGGCGATTCAGGTGAAGAGAGAAAATCTGTGCTAAATTTTCTTGGTAGATTTTTTTCTATACACCTCAATCAGCTCTCAGTAAAAATGCTCTTTGCAGCTCGCGCACATTTCTCCATACATCACGCAGGAAAATGTTCCTTGCGTCTCGCACAAAACTTTTAAACATCCCGCAGAAAAAGAATTCTCTAGAGCAAAGAAAAACGCTACCCAAGTCCTCTTGCCCCGGCAACTGCCCGCACGGCAAAATGCCCCTCGTTCGCCTGTTTTTCTTCACATCGCCGCTGCTCAAAGTCACCAACCGGCACTCGCGAGAACAAGACCTGAAGGGTCAAGTCCCCACTTTTCTCCTCTTACTCTTCTAAAAAATCAGAATCAGAATGATCTCTAGCCTGGTGCAAGGACCCAGGAAATCTCGGTTTCTCCGCCTCTGTGAGTTCATAGGCTTTCAAAAAAAAAAACCATAAAATTAAATCTTACCAATCCCGGAATTTTATGTTATCTAAATTGAGAAAATGACACACCCATGACGAATCAAACACCAGAAAATCTGACAATGCAATCCGAAAAACATCTGCACTCACAACGTGAGAAAAAAAAATAGACCCCCCCCAACTAACAAGCGAAACTAACTTTACGAGCATCCAATTACCCAAGGTTAGTTTAACCACCCACTGTCTTGAAGTAAGAAAACTGCAACCTTAACAAAGCGACAGGAAAGCGATTTCCGTTTCACACGCATTAGCTAAAAGGGCGCCACCCCTACCCTATACTGCCTCCATTGTTGGTAAAAGGCCATAAACCAGATGGCTCCCGCAACTGTTTCCCGCCTTAGTTATAATCCTACTCAAGAACAACAAGTTAAACAACACCTTAAGAGCCTAGGAATACTTTTTTCCAGATTAAAATACACATGAATACAAATAAAAATATTAGAATAATAATAACTTAAAACGCATATTAATAATAAATTCGCGACATGACAGTTGAAAACTCTCATCATATAACTTAATTTTGAAAATAGAAGAAAAGCTTTTATTAATTTTCCAGTGTTATTTTAATATTGTACTTTATACTGAAGCAAAGTTTCTTTTTGCAATCATTAGTTTAACACAATTCATTTAACGTGTTTAGAAATACTACATATCTAAAAGCTTAAATATATATATATATATATATATTATAAGTCTTAGTAGTGTTATCTCTTTTATATATACTACCTTCTCTTAATTTTCTTGGTCCTGCTTTATCAACTCCACGCTTCGTAAAATGACGATTGGGAAGTTTTGGCGATGGAAGAAGAGGATTAGAACGTCCAGTCCTAAAATAATACAGAAATTTTATAATGCAGAACCCACCTTTTTTTAACAACATGATTAGCTTACAGGAAATCTAGAAAAATAAAAAGTTTGCAGTTGCTTTAGCTAACTGGCAAAAGTTTCAGTTCTCTGATTTTTATATGACTATTTGATAAGTCTAAAAATGTACAACTATACAACTTAATATGCTTTGGAGGTAAGCAAAATAAAAAACCAAAAAATAAATAAAATAAAACAAAAGAATGTGAACAAATACCTACCTGTGATAGGCCAAAAAAAGGGGGAAAAATATTAATGATCAAATTATTATGAAAACAAAGTGATTTTATTCAAATTAGCTATATGGAGTAGTATATTTCATGCATGATCTTTGATACTAAATACTTAAAGAAAGGTGAGCTGCAGCAATTAATATACAGTACCACTAATGAAATAACTTAATAAGCCCTGAAAATGATATATGGATTCTTTTTAGAAAAAAAGTGATTTATATGGAATATATCTGAATTGCCAAGTTTATTTAAATATCACTAACAACCAAATATTCTAGATGCAGTGCTGGTTCTAAGCATATTCAATATAGGCAGGTGCCTAGGGTATCTAATTTCAGAGAATGCCGGCTAAGTTGTCCTCACAAGTACTAATTAAATAGTGGCATATTTTATTTTGAGTTATTAATATGCTTAATCTATTCCACAGGATTGTAGTATTACCTAGGACACAAGAAATGCTAGAACCAGGCTTATTCAATATCAACTGGTTTATACATTGACAATAGATACTTGCAACTGGGAAATAGCCTATGTTATGTTACATGTAACTAATTCAACAAGAAAAGAAATAATTTCTTCTGCTGCATAACTTCCTGAATTTCACGGAAATGTCAATAGGATGAGGTTAAAGAGAGGATCTGACAAATAGGTCCATTATCATCATATTTTTAAAATAAGCAGACCATCCCATTTAAGTTGTCTCCCAAAGTATACATTAAGTAGAATCCCTGCCCGAAAGAAGTTTAAGTTTTACATACATTAAGAAGAAGAAGGAAAAAAAAAAAAAAAAGAAAATACTAATCTGGAGGTTATAGTAAGTTGGCTGCTCAGTGGTAGCAAAATGGGAAAACAAATTCATACTTACCTCAATAACCACATTGCATCAATCAGACGTTAGTTTAACATATATCATAAGACTGAAATTACACAACCATATCTTTCACACAAAGATAATTTTTTTTCTTTTTAATTTGATAAAAATTTCTTTTATAAAGCATCACACAGAAGTAGCAGGCAATTACTCAAAATTACAACTTGTGCCTTTACATTCTATTTTTCTTTCTTTATAGAGAAAGAATATGACAAACTTTTTTTGCTGATTGGCTTGACATTTTACAAAATAAGATGGTCATTACCTACATATAAAGTTTAACACATTCTCTTCCCTAGATTAATAAATGCTGGAAGATAAATAAAATATTAATTTAATGCAAAGAATAAATTATATTTTAGATTTTTGAAAAAATAAATAAAAAAAAAAAAAAAAAGAAGAAGAAGAAGTGGCAATTCGATATTTTTTTTAGATTTTAGAGAAAAACACAGATTTTTAATAAACTAAACCTAACAGTTATTGTCGAAGCTTAAGAAGCAAATAATAGAGCTCTCACTCTTTCATACTGATTTTATGCTTACCATTACGTAGAAACTCATCAACCATGGAATATGGATAATACTTAACAAGTATAAGATCTGTCGTATAATGCTAATATTAAATTAAAATTTAATTGCAAAAAAATAATAAAATAAAAATAATTATTATTGCTGTGAACTAATTTACAATATCATTTAAGTTCAAACAGCATATGTAATATCTTATTATTTTTTTTAAATATGTTATTATTTTTTCATGGTTTTAGATACATGCACTTAATTTACATATGCTCTTTGAATTTAACTGATATTGAAAAGGTCGCAGCCATTATAGTATCCGCATGTGTATCGTGTATGCAGTATGTTCTGGATGTGAATAAAGCGGGCACAGCCCTCTCAAAACCGCTGAACACTGGTAATTCGATCTAACTTTTGAATTCCGGCGAGCGGGCTAGCTCGATGGGTGTATTCGTGATTTTACGCATGTGTATCGTGTATGCAGTCTCTTCTTGATGTATACGTGAATAAAGCGGGCCCAGCACGCGCAAAAGCGCTGAACAATGGTAGTTTGCTCAAACTTTCGAATGCCAGTGAACGGGCTACCTGCATGCCTGTTTTCGTGATTTTCCGCATGTGTAACGTATATGAAGTATCCTATGGATGCATATGTGAATAAAGCGGGCGCAGAACACTGGTAGTTCGGTCCAACTTTCGAATACCGGCAAAAGAGCTGGCTCCATGGGTGTTTTCATGATTTTCTGCATGTGTATCTTATATGCAGTATCTTCTGGATGCATATGTGAATAAAGCGGGCGGAGCCCGCCGAAAACCGTTGAACGCTAATAGTGCGGTCCAACTTTCGAATGCTGGCGAACACACTGGCTGCAAGTGTGTTTTCGTGATTTTCTGCATGTGCATCGTGTATGTGGTATCTTCTGCATGCATATGTGAAAAAAGCTGGAGCAGCCCGCTCAAAACCACTGAACACTGGTAGTTCAGTCCAACTTTCGAATCACGGCGAGCGGGGTTTGCTACATGGGTGTTTTCACGATTTTTCGCATGTGCTTGGTGTATGCAGTGTCTTCTGGATGCATACGTGAATAAAGCGGGCGCAGCCCACGCAAAACCGCTGAACACTGATAGTTCGGTCCAACTTTCGAATCCCGGCGAGCGGGCTGACTGCATGGGTGTTTTTGAGATTTTCCGCATGTGTAACATGTAGGCAGTATCTTGTGGATGCATCCATCAACAAAGCGGGCACAGCCCATGCAAAACTGCAGAACACTGGTAGTTCAGTCCAACTTCTGAATCGCGGCATACTGTACAGAAATTTTGGATGCATACGTGAATACAGCGCGCTGAGCCCGGGTAAAATCGATGAACACTGGTATTTTGGTCCAACTTTTGAATACCAGCGAAATTTAATATGGGAACTCTTATACACACGAACAATTAAAAGCGGGCTTTCTCGCTAGTACTTAACAAGTATAAAATCTGAGCAACAGCAGAAAATAAAAATAATATGCAAGATATTTATACTGGTATTCTATTAATAGATATACAGCTAATTAATTAATTAAGAATTATTATTATAATACTTTAAATTTTACTGAATGTTTTAAAAGATGCAACATTCAAAAAAGTTTTTAAGCTTTGTAAGACAGGTTACATCAAAATGCAGTATCACTGCTTATAGAAAACATATTAACAAATTTGAAATAAATTTCCTATTTGCCCACTTTGTGATTCTGGAGAAGAAATGGACAGGAGCCACATGCTCCGATATGGGGCTCTTAGCGGTCTTACAGAAGAGTCAAGGTACTGGGAAGCAGGAACGCTTTCTTTAAGCAATGATTTCAGTCTTTTTGTTCTTAGTTCTATTGTTTGTAACCTCTGCTTATAAGATTTTAGTTCTTTGTAACTTTTTGCCTAGCCACTGGAAATAAAAATAAAATAAAATAAAAAAATTAAGAGAAGGCTTTTTTTTCTTTTGATATAGTTTTTGCTTTACTTTAGACAATTCCAACTCATCAACTCATATTACACTCTGTCTCATTTTTCAACAGCAGTCACATTACTTAATTTTAACTAGCTGTTATATATAAAAAAGGGCGGGGAGAGGGAGAAGAGATGATGTTGATTCAAATGAACTACTACCACATGATTCTACTACCACTTATTCAAGAACTTCAACAGGAATATGCTCTTGCTACATGATAAGAAATTATTTGATTTAGTTAGTTATGCTTTCAAATTATTTTTTATTAAAAGTTAATATTTTTAAAGAGTTATTCTTATATTTTTAAGCAAATACTAGACTGAATGTACAATAAAAGAATGCTACTGAACTGAAAAACAACTTTTGCTAGTTTTATAGAGATGAATGTAAGGAAAATATATGTTTGCAACAAAACATATATTTTCTTTACATTCATCTCTATAAAACTAGCAACATTCTAAAAACAAGATTTTTTGTTTAAATATATATATATTTTTGCCAATGTTTTATTATGACTAAGAAAATAACGTTTTTGATAGTGTACAATTTTTAAGACAGAACCATATCCATTAAATGCTTAATCTAAAACATTCCATCCAAAATTCTATTCTTGATATATTAATCTGTTAGGAGTTACTAAACAACAGATCTCGCAATCTATAACTCTTCAGCTTGCAGCTAACTTACAGTGGGTTCACAGAAATTAAAAATATTTACTTTCTTTTCTTTGAAAATGGTACAACCTATAACAAACTGCAAACTTCTTTTGCATTCTTGGAAATGGTACTAACTATAAAAAAACTGCCAATGTCTTTGTATTCCTTAATACTTGCCTTGTATTCTTCCATTTTATTATCTCACTATGTGATGTTTCATTCCCTTCAGCTTTACTGAATATGTAGCAATATCTCCTCAGTATTTATTCTTAATTTTAATTATCCATATATGAAGTTCTCATCATCTTGAACCTAATACTGGATATAGGTTTCCCAAGAATTTCTCGAATACTTCTCCAGAAAGCTGGTAAAAATAAGATCTTTTTATATCACATCTTTCTCTCTCTTTGTTTTCATGAATTAAGTTATTTTACCTCTCATATTTATTGTACCTCATATATTATTTGCCAGGTCTAAAATTTAAAAAAATGTATTATTACTTTCCCTCACTTTCGTAAGTTATAATGGTCAAATGCAATTCATTGAAAGGATTTTGGAATAGCTGCCCATAAATACTTTGTGTTTTAAATACATATCATAAGCAATATGGTTCTGACTGCAACCTAATTGACTTCAAAAATATAACCTTCACCACATTTTGCATATGAATTCAATCATTTACATTATTCCACAATTTCTCAAAAATTCATTATAATTACAGAGGAATTTTTATATATTGATATAATAACTTATAAATAATGTCATGAATGAAATTTTACAATAAGAGTTAGGATTAATGGATAACTTTAATATAATATATGCATGAGTACCACTCACAACAGAACAGTCAATATGATAGTCATTCTATATACTAACAATTAGCAGTTTGCCAACTCTTACAGTGTTTTCAGTTTACTTGATAAAAAGGGAGTGAAAAACAAATTTATTTGCTTAATTAAAGTTCCTAATTGTGAACAGTATGATTTAAAAATTTATGTAAAGATCTTACTGGAAATTTTGGCATTCTTATCAGAACATAAGATTTAACTGTGCATAGAGTTCTTAAAATGTTTTTAATGGCAAGAATTACAATGTCATATTAATATGCTGTTTTATATAGAACTTCAGCATCAAAGCACATTCCATTAAAAATATATCATCTTCCATGAAAATGCCTGTACATCTCTCTCTATCTCTGTGTACTTCATCTGTATATGTATGTATGTCATTTTTGGTAGGGGAGTTGGGGAGCACACTGTCTACAGTTCTGACAAACAAGTGAAAAGTGTTTTGCTGATAATGAAGATCTTCAAACAGTAATTACATTTCTCAATGGGCAGCAAGCAAAAGTACGTTATGAAAAGTTTATAAAAACATGTCTCCTGATATGGTAAATGTCTTAATAATACGATTGGAATACAGCATGAGATATATATTTTCAAAATAAAATGGTTTTCTTCAATTAACTTTTTTATTAATTTATTATTATTATTGTTATTATGAGGTAAGTATTACTTTTTGGACATAGTTATAATTTTTAAAAATGCATTGATTTATGAAACAGAGTGCCATATGAGAATTGAGGAAATGACTTCTATAACAGCAGAAACAAGGAAACAATAAATTAGAGAAGAATTTTTATAGTTCGCTTCTTTAATTTTAGCAGATATCTAATAACAAAATAATAGCTACTAAGTTAAATACTTTGTAATAGTTGTCTCTGTTAGCATTATTTAAAAAGTGCCAGTAAATATGGTTTCAATAAGCATTATACCATTTCTTCAATCACTATTATTGCTGCAACAACACTAGATGCTTTATTAGTTAAATGATTTGAAAACAAATGAGAGATGATTTCTCTGATTTATATTGATATAATACATATGAATTTCCAAAACCAATACACAGATATTGTTGACCAGATTTTTTAAACACTTATTTTAAATTCTTTCATTTTCAAAACTGAACAGTAATAAGAATCCATATGATAATCCCAAAATCACTCTTTTTTCTTTAGGAGAAAACTGCACTAAAATGAAATATTAATAATTACATTAACTAATTTTAGATAAACAATAACAATATTAAATTATTTCAAATAATTTATATTATGTTCATGCCATATAGCTCCTAATAAACTGATAACCTCATTATTATTGTTAATTATTCCCACTGACAGACAAATTTTATTTATGAAGTTTGATATTGATAAAAAATATATAATCAATACATGAAAGGCAGTTCTCTGCTTTTCTTTCATCATCTTGAGCAATGTGAAATAGTATTTAAATATATCTGTATCAGAGGGATAAAAACAAATTTAATTCAAAATTCATTAAAACAATTTTATAATCTGTATTTTTTTTATTTTGCTACAATATTTGCACATTTAAATAATTACAGCCATGAATCAGTAATACACAGAAATTCATAGTTAGACTTTCACTGATATGTATGTAATTCTGAATTTTTTTTTAGACATAAGCTGACAATATGTGCTAAAACACAATTAATTATTAGATATGTAATTTGTATGACTTTTATGTCTTTAGATGGGGGGGGAACTTTTATGTTTGCAGAAGATAATTTATGGATATAATTGCAATTTATTTAATCGTATAATAAATTTTGAAAGAAAGAAAAATGGAGTTGATACAAAAGCATTGATTTTAAAGTAGGGCTAAATCAAGAAGAATGCCTTCAGTGTCTACAATTAGAACATGGAAATGAAGCTCCATGTCACGTCACTATATTTAGATGGTTTACAGCATTTCAAAGAGGTCAAAATTTTCTTTTCTTTTAGACAAAGAATATACAAGATGTCAGATATAGTCCTAGAAAATCTGTTGGCCATATGAAAAATTTTAATCAGTGCTAATCACTGTACCTACTAAATGATACACAAGGAACTTAACACTGTACATTAAGTAATTTTGGATTTCTCTACACATAAAATTATTCGTGAAGTGTGTGTGTGTGATTATTGCAAAGCCTCGAGGGCTATCTGCCTAAGGGGAGGGATGCTTTTGTGGAGGACTTTCTAAGGGAAACTGGCTCGTATACACGTTACACATGGGGAAAACCACGAAAACACCCATGCAGCCAGCCCGTTCGCGGGATTCGAACGTTGAACCGAACTAACAGTGTTCAGCGACTTTACCGCTCGGCCGCTGCTGGGCCGGGTATTCGTGAAGAACTGCATATGAAAAAATTAGTTTTTCATTGGGTCCCTTATAAAATTAACAGAACACCAAAAACTGGAGCATGTCAGAATCAGAGAAATCCAAAATTACTTAATGACGATGGATATTGCATTATTTCTTTTTAATTTAGCAGCTTGATACAGGGAAAATGTTAAACTTGCATCATTATGTTTACACCTCTGTTCATTACCAGTTATTATTTTCATATGATAGGCATAATAAACTATTTAAAATAAATTTATAAAAATTATTCTGCAATTACTTGTTATTATGCATTAACTTATACTTTAACATGTATATAATACATTCATCTTCAAATAAATAATCATTCTTTTACCTTAAAATATGAAGGGGGGGAAAGGAATAAATTAAGTTACATTTAATTAAAAATATTAAAAGGTTTCACTCTGATCTTAACTTGTTTAAATATATTGTTAATATTAATTAGTTTGAAATATGAAGTTTCCAATCCAAATTTATATCTTTATACTCATTAAATTATCAATAGAAAGTGATTTAAGTTCTTGCTTACGATGCTACAAACATTACAAACAACTGTCACTACATGTGAAACGTACATATTATTTTCCCTTCTAATTGTTAAATTTAATATTTACTTTTAATTAATTCATGTAAGAATTTAAAATATAAATGAAATCCATACTCTTCTTCTACACAAAATTATCTGAATTCAAAATTATACCAAAAATGTTTATCATGAACATATTATATTTTGAAATAAATTTATGATTAAAGAGAAAATTTAACTGCAATTTAATGCTTCTAATTGATGATGATGCCTATAATTAAGTATAATAAAAGACTTTCCCTTTATATTGAAATATAATAACAATAAAACATACTTTCTATGTATGCCTGTTTGAAATACATTAGTGGAAATTAAATACAATTAGTAGAAACAGAAGTGAAATAGTATTACAATTAATTAAATAAATTAGTTAAAAATAAGCATAAATAAAGGCTGAAAAATAATTTCAATCTAAAAAGCAAAACATGCACATACAATAAAATGACGAAAAATATCTGCATCTTACTTGCGAGGATTATCTTCCGTTTTCATGTTACTGTCTTGGTAATCAAATGCTAAAATGATATTAAAAAAGTCCAGAAATTTTTATATTTCTATAACTAAATGGATATTTTTCTAACCATAAATATTTAAATTAATTTAAATACTAATAATGGATAATATAAGAGACTTACACTTAACATTCTCAGAAAAATTACATATCTTTCCAGAAATAACAACTTGAATTTGATCACCAGCTGGTTCAGCCATTGGAATTTTGATTTCTGGAGGAAGTTCTGGAATAACTTTATGATCAGCTTCCAGCTCATCTTCCCTTCGTTTTTGCTGTTCTAGACGAGGAATTCGAAACAGTTCCTGAGGATATAATATATAATTATAAATGTAGAAAAGTATGAATTCTTAAAATTTAGTTCATCATACAATACAAAAACAAAACAAAAAAAAAAAAAAAAAAAAAAAAAAAAAAAAAAAGACATTGTAAGAGCTCACATATCTAAAGAATACAAATTACGCAAGTGATAGAAATAACTATTAGAATTTCAATTATACAAAATATGTAGATTACAACGATAATACCTTTTTCTCAGCACACATATTGTTACAACATTATGTGAATAAATTCAAATAAATAATATAACACTGTTTCGCTAACAAACACATTTATTTAATTAGATGCACTTAGCACAACAATACAAGTTATATATATAAAAGTAGGTATGTGGTAAAGAATTCAATTCTATACATAATAGAAAGATTTATGAAGATAGACAGAGAGAAGGGGGGAAACAGAGAAATCCTAGACTATAGGTCACCTTCAGAAATACTGTTTGAGTCTAAATACAAAAAATAAATGCTCATTGAATGAAGGAAATGTATAGACCATATTTTAATCATTTCAGGACAATTCCATTTGAATGATTAGAATTCTGCTTTATGGAAAGGAAAGGATGAATTTTGCCAAGCTTAGCAAAGTTCAACTCTTCAATTACATTTAAAAAGCACTGCTTGCTAAAATTTAAAATTCAAGAATCCAGACTTGTTTGCAATTTAGTATCAGTAGTTATAAACTGTATATGATAGCTACAGTATCAGATTAATATTATATACTGATCTGATTAGTGATATTTGATCACAGAAAAATTAAAGTACTTACAATATGTGCAATACCTTTTGCAAATAAACTATAAAAAATGATACCCCGATATTAACACACAAATTTAAAGCCCTCTAGTATATGATAACATATGTACAGATAATTAATTTAAGCAAATTTTCTATTAACGAAATCCTTAGTGCCATTTTCAGCATTAGAACTCAAATTTTATTATACCTGATAAAATACACTAATAGAAATCTAGCACAGTAACAATTAAGTTGAGTTGCTTTATCAACTAAAATTTATTCTAATGTATATTTCAAGTTATTGCTTGCTACCAACCAAAAACTTAACTTAAGTTGAAGATCTGTTGAACATTTGCTTCAAGAAGAATTTAAACAGTAACTCTGAGGGCAAAAAATTTTCTGGTAAATTTCTCTTTCTGGCTACCAGCACGTTTACTTAAAAGTTTCATATTCTGTAGCTGTTCATCATACAGATTCTCAGTCTACTTAGAAAATTGCAATAAATAAGAGCCTGAATTCCTTACTGTTAGGTAATAATCCAATTTACTTTGTGTACAGCTTTATTAAGTCCAAATTCCACAGATCAGGATACCTTTGTCTTTTTTAATATAAGATTGCTCATTTAAAAAAAAAAAAAAAATCCAGGCATTTTTATATAATTTTATTTTAAAATTACTTTTAAATCTTTTAAATGTGAAAATTTTTTAATCTTCAAAATGAAAGACAGAAACTAAAATCTTCGATCAATTTTTTAACAAGAAGGGGTTTATCTCTAACATCCAAAATAGCTGGGTATAATTCATAATCCTATATGTTCAGTCCACTGAAATATCTGGTTATTGCTCATAATCATCTAAAATGAAATGGACCTGTTGCTACTAATTACGTGTCTGAAAAATTCAATTAAAATTATATAATTAATGAAATATTTGGATTTGTATTTTCAAATTAAATAAAAGCAGTCTTGTGTCATCAATTATTATGAAAGCAGGAAACAGAATGTATGATGATTTGGTGAGAATTCAAAAAAACGGTTGCCTTCAAGAAAATAGATTTCATTATATTTTTGTAAAAGTATATTTTATGTCTGACACATTTATGTTTAAATTATGTGTGTTTCAGCAGTAGTGAAATTAAAAAAGCCTGTCTTTTTTCATTAATATTGCTCAAGTTAAAATTTTAGTTTGACAACATAACACCAAGGGCAAGTCAGAGGGGCAAAATATGTAAAAGTAAAAATTTACAGTTTCTCACATTGATGTATTCTTCTAAAAAATTAGGATAAGTTACTTATCAAATTTTAGATGGAACAAATGAAAAACCAAACGGCAGATATATGAAAAGAAAAATATTATTATGTTTTAATAACATTACATTTTAGGCAACATACATTATTTTAACATCTGGACAAGGTATTGTAGGTATTTATTACAGGGTATACGCTGTAAAGCTCCCCTCGTGTTATAGTTATCAAAATAACATCTAGACATCTAAATATTCATCTATAAATAAAGTTATCAAATTTAATATAAGCTTATGTGAAACGAAACAAAATGTTTTCTGCAGAAAGATATACAGAATTAAAGACAGTATTCCCATATGTGTAAGTCTCACTAATAATTGAATAGTTAAGGCTCCTGAATATTGGTAGTTTGACCCTAGTTTGAACTCAGGAGAATAGGTTGGCTGCATGTTCAGTTTTTATAGTCCTTCCCATATGCAATATGAATTTGAGGCATTTTCCCTTAGAAAGTTCCCCCAAAAGGCATTCCTTTCCTTAGGCGGATAGTCCTTATGTGCTTTGCCGTATTCGAATAACCTAACCTAACCTAGGTAGTTTAGTGAAGAGCACATTCAGTGGCAAATGGAAAAATCTGGTTCATTTTCTGTTATTGATTTCTCAAGACATCCTGTTTCAATAAACCTAATGACTCTACTGCGATGGCCAAACTAAAAACAGAATATATGACTTTTTTTACAAACTTGGTTTGAACAAGTGGGTACTAATTCCTCCTTCAAATACTCTTTAGATGCACGTGGGGAAGTAAGAAATTTAAGATATTCTTCTTTTAGGCTTTTTAAGTGTAATGGTCATTCCACACATTCTGCAAATGGAAAATTTATTTCTGTGAGTGTACTATAGATTTTTTCAGATTACTTGCCCTGATATATCTTAAGAAATAGACTATAATGCTTAAAATGTGGTGGCCGTTAACTTGTTTCCAACTTGATGTGGCCAACTGGAATCATTTTCTTTCTCGCTCTTTAGCTGTGTGTGTGTGTTGGGGGGGGGAAGGGTAGAAAGTAAGGAATACATTTTCCTAATGCTCTCACTAGAATAATAAGCATATTAGTCTTGTCAACAGAAGACTCAAGTTCATTTCCATACATAAGACATAATTGATTTTTCAAGACTACTTACCCAAACAGCAATAAACTAAAAATATAATGGATGAGAATCATTTCGATTTGGCTGATTCAATACTATGTACCCCCAATCATCCCTTTGGTGGAAGACAGAAAGCATTTACAAGAAACTAAATCATCCTTCCTATGTGCTTTATTATGTAGCAATAAGTACATCCAGTTTTGTTTTCTGGCAAAAGAACAGTTGATTTTTCCTGATTTCATGCTCAGAATATGTAATGACTCAATAACGGTACCTAAATTAAAAATATAATGGAAAATAATTGAAGACTAATTCCATATGTTCCACTGGAATTGCTTTTTTTTTTTAAAGTCATCATTAAGTCAGGATAGGAATGTATGGAAATGAAATATATTTTTGTTTTTACTCTTGTAAAGCAGTGATCAGCATATCCAGCTGAGAAATAGAAGATGTTAATTCATTTCCAGCAAGAGCCATTTGATTTTTCAAGATTATTTTTCTATGAGGTTTCCTGCAACTGTATTAATATGCTTTCCAACTGAAATGTAAATCATATATGATGAATCATGTATGAAGTCAATATAATAAGCTTATTATTTATTTACCATATTTTTTGTTGGGAAAAATAAAATTTTAGAATTAAATATAAACCTAAAGGTAAATTGCCTAGAAGATATCACAAATAAAAACAAACTGGCACATAGCATTTTATATTTTATTTCTTTCCATGACCTAATTTTGTTTAACTGTTAATTCCTTAATTATTCAGTTATTACCCACAGATATTATATTTCATCACAGTTCATGCATCTTTTCTTGATTAGGCATTTATTAATCATTCATTAGCTTAGGTTCTTCCATTGGAATTTTGTATACCTGAGTATTAGGCGCATTTCAGTCAATAAAAGATTACATTTTGCAAAAAAAAAAAAAAAAAAAAAAAATCTGTCCTAATATCATTTTTATTCTTAGAATTGATGCACTGCATTTTTTTTGAATTAATATCCACTATTTTTATCATTAAAGTCATCACAATTAACATGAATTTCAGTGTCATGAAATTGAGGGGGGGGGGAGAAAATCCAATCACAGGTATAACTGATAAGTCTTACTAAAACTAAACCATCAAAATGTTAGATAGTTTGGTTTCCTGAATGAATGTATAAAAGTTATGAAAGCTTTTCAAATCACTGCTTACCTAACACACCATCATAAATGCCTCACATAAGTTAACCTAGTTGTGTTACCAGCTATATCGATGACGAATAAAATATTTCAATTTAGGTGGAATATTTATTTGCATTTCTCCTTTCAAAGTAAAATAATGTGAACAGAGGAAAAATATCAAAATTTATTTAACCAACTAGAAAAAGAAAAGTAAATACAATTGCAATCAACATCAACACAGATTGCAATCATATATGATGAATTGAATCAAGTAATCATTAAGTTTTATTTTCAGTGCAGATGATAGTATAAAGATAAGCGAATTAAAAAGAAATTCTATTATAAAAGTACTTTACATATGGCATTGATTTTTTTAATCATAGCACCAATACAAATTTTTCTTTTCTTGCAGAATATTAAAAAATATATGTTTTTATAAATAGCTCAATTTGTTATATTAATAAGCCGTCACTTTCATAATTCGAAGGAAAACAAAAGATTCCCTGTTTTATGAATCCCCAACAACTTCTCTTTCCTATAGACAAATATTTTTCCTATGTAGTGAAATCAATAAACAATTATTCAGCTCTGAATTATTGAAAATATTTATTATGGAATTACATAGTGAGATTAGTAATGATTAAACATTTAAAAAAAATATTAAACTTTCCTGCTT